TAAAATTATGAAAACCGTGACAAAAGCAAGACATTTAATGAAAATCGGTAAATTTTACTATTGGTTGAATACCAATGTATAGATAGATAGATAGTTAGACGTTAATGGACAAAATGGAAACTATAAAAAAATTTAAAAAAAAATAGTTAATTAAAAGCGAAATATGTCAATATGAAAAAGTGTAGTCACGATTGAACAATTAAATTATTTTAGTCGAAATAAAAAAAAATAATGCCGATAATCGACGTCAGTCCAGAGTACATCGTTCATTTGTAGACATTTGATTTAAGAAATAATCTAAACTCGTATATTCATAATAATTATAATCATATACAGAAGCCATATCTAATATTATACTATTTTCTTATATTTTGTTATTTCATACAATTAATTAATTGTCATCGGTCCTCGTTTTTGTCAGACCGATTAAATTTGGTGGTTTGAATAACTATAGTTTTTTTAATATGTAAATGTATTGCTGTATCTAATAAGAAATCATCGTATTTTTATCATTTTAATTTGAAGGATATTAACTTTATTTTATTATATCATATAATTTTAAGATGACAGTTATATTTATATTTAATTTTGATAATAGGTCACATTTGTTGTCTCTTACAAACGTACAGCATAGAAAAATATACAATTATTGAACCAATAAAAATTTTAGAAAATTTAACAGGTTTATTATAAATTGAACAAACAAGAAAAAGAGTTTAATGTAGATAGTATATTTTTATTAAAAATTTTAATATCAATTTTAATGGAAATCATGAATATTACAGCTTTTTAAAAAATTCCAAATAGCCAAATTCCGCTTTGAATCGTTTTTCATTAGTAATGGTTTATCGTCGCATATACATATAAATTAAATTTCCCTCTATATCCTACTTTACCAACTTTTCACTTACAACAGTGGCCACCCATCATATGAAGTATGTTTGTCTTTTTTTTTTTTAAATAGAATTATAAATGTATTTAGTAGTAGGTACCTAACGATCAGTCATAGTAAGTGTCAGTTTTAGGAGGAGTTATAAGGAGCAGAAGCACCCACCATTCTGAACTTTTTAAAATCTAAATGTACTAATAAAAAATATCTGTGGTCTTATATTTTACAAATTCACATTAATTGCATTTTTCATTGACAAACTTTGAATTTCACTGAAGAGAAAAATATCTACACTAGTTAAAATTGCTTCAACAGCTGAAGAAAATCTGAGTGGACGAAGGTAATTTATCAACTGGTAAACTACTCTTGCAGAAAATGTATTTTTTATAGTTAAATTTTAATTTCATGTTATTTTCTGTAAAATCCAATAGATTTTTGATTTGTGTTTCTAATGATATTCTACTCATCTGGCAAATAATATCATATTTAATCAATGTAAAATGTAGATGCATTTGTTCTCTTACAAATGTATGGCATACCAAATTTGCATTCACCTGTGACAATTTTGTGTTAGTTTTAATATTAAAGTGTACTGATATATTATCAAACTTAAATAAAGTTTAAGAAAGTTCTTTGTGTGATTAAGCGTCAGTTTTTTCCGATATTTAAATTTCCAAACAAGTTAAACATTTTTTTAAGTTGTGATATTTCTTATGTTCATATCTCGCCTTATCTTCAAGTTTGATAACAAGCAATTATCTATAATATTTAAACTAACAGCACAAAGTTATCCCATATGAACAAAAATTTGCTGTCGAAATTTATAAGACAGAGAATACAAAGGTAGGTATGTGTAGCATCCTCTTAAATTACATAAATATTATTTACACAAAACCAAACATTTTTATTAAAACCATATAAATTGTTTGGTATTATTTTGCCATTTAAAAAAAAAAAACTCAACAAATACTTACTCTTATACAATTTTCTATTAATAATAAATTTATGTATATTTTAATCAATAATATACCTCTATACCCATTAGACTAAAAAAATTAAACAGTAGAAATGACCACTTAAATTCAGTACTTTTAATCTCAATAATCTTTTAGTGTAAGAATAAATGAAAATTGCAAATTTTTTATTAGAAGCAGATTTACAAATTATACAAATACCAAAAGAATTCGTCCATTTTTAAGGTAAATGGTTACTTTTATATTTGTATAGTGGTAATCAGTATCAGTTTTTCTAGACTTAACTTAAATAATGGTAAATTTGTTAATTTTACTCTGTGGTTTTTCCTATTAGCTAAGGTTGGGCAAGTGTGACTGCAAGATATTTAGACATAATATTAATAATTATACAGTGCATCATATTGTCTCATCGGAGCTGTTAAAATTTATATGTACAAATTCGGTAACAGTTCTATACTTTCACAATACATTTAATTTGATCAGATTTAAATGAGCCAAATGAGTAATTTCATTAAATATATTCTATATTTTAACAATTTAATAATTAAATAACATCATTTTATATTATATTTTGTTTAATTACAATTTCACTCTTGCCCCTTCAGCTTTGTTCGTTTTAAAAATTTAGTGTTAACACTATAGTGCACAAATGTTGGGTGTGATGTGTGGTGTACCAATTCAAAACAAATGTTTCAGGTAGTAAAAAGTAGAAAGTAAAAAAGTCAAGTTGATTGTCCTCTGGTTTATTTCTAAATACCTGAGATGTTAAAAATAAATATCTAGTGAAAAAAAAGTGTCTAGATGTCAGTTATTTGTGTTATATGTCACTTAATAATTATTAAATAAATAATAATTCTTAATAGTTAGGTTTAATAAATATTATTGTATTTAAACTTTTGTATATGTATCATATAGACAATAATATTTAAAATACACTCAAATTGAACATAGGTACATAATATAATAATATATTTTATATATCAATTTAGTTTTATGAAAGTGAAATTCTTATTTCTGTAAATAAAGGTGAATAAATGAATATAATATGTGTGTATTATATCAAATAGTCTACATTTTTATATGTATAGTAATGATTTCTTTAAAACTATGACTGCTAATAAGATTTTTATTTTAAAAGTAATAAATAATGATTACATCAAACTGTAAACTAATTACATTTGCTACACTTATTATTAGATAGACTGAGAGTAATAGAGTCACAATAATAATATTAAACACTGGATTTAAATAAATAATGAATTATTATTATTGTTAAATTGCTATTAGTTTTAATTTTCTTTTTTTAAGAGCTATATTTTATTACATTGTTGTACTTATGATATTAATAATTTATGAGTAAACATAAATTTAAACTTAACATTCGTAAGATCGGAAATTTATAATAACAAACAAATCTCATAGTACATCATAATGTTCAAAATATGTTCAATTTTCAAAGTCAAATTGAATAAGTATTATTGTATTTAATTTGTTTTACTGATACCTACAGAACCAAATTCAATATTTCATTATTGTGTATAATACTTGTTATCAGTTGTAAAATAAATACTAAGTAATAAATTTAAAATACAGTAAACACTTTGAACAAACAGCAAATTGTCAGTTTTCCATATAACTTTTCTCCTTACATACATAATATAACTGGGTGTATGATTAAGAAAAAAGTTAATTTTGTACTTATACATATTTTAAGTAGCAGTTTTTTTATTAATAATAATAATACAAATAATTTGTTTAAAAATAATAATGACATTTCTAAAAGAAAAATGAGTTTATTAGTCTTTTTCTGCAATACATTTAGGTAAATCGGTTTAGAATAAGGTACCAGAATGAGTATTATGTATTGAATTTAATGTTTATGAAATAAAAACCAATGGTGTTAATTGTGTTATGAAATTTCAATTATAAATGCATATAGTGTACCTATTGTATTGCTGAAAAAAAAATTAATAGTTGGTAAATCTATTATACAATCCTTATAGTTGTATTAATTTTAAGAGGGTGCTACACTTGCATTCACTGTCTCCATCTATAAAATGTATGACATAGCAAATTTGCGTATAGTAGGACAAATTTTTTATCAAGTTTATCAAACCTATTAAAGGTCAATTCACTTTAATATTAAAATTAACTGCACATAATTTGCTCTACTGAACACATATTTGCTATGTTGTGCGTTTGTAAGAAGGAGAAAGTAGATGTAGGTGTGACGCTTTATAAATATATATAGCTAATGGAGGAATTAATTTAAAACTATTATACATTATACTCTTCACAAAAGTCTTTGAAAAATTCCAAAATTCCAAAATTGTCAAAATAGCTATCTTGGAATTGTTGTTACCTGAGAAAAAAAATGACATTGCACTATTGCATACTAATAATTCAATTTTCATAACATACAAAATAATACACATTATTAACACACTAAAATATTCAATCATCAATCAAATAAATCAACCAACAATCAATATATATATTAGGGTGGTCCTTAATTTCACACCTTTGAAATTNCCATGCACTTTGAAAGCGTTTAAAGATAGGTATAATTGGTCCAGGTGATACGTATAATTTCGCCTCGTTAAATGCAGCCAAAACATGATGCCTACAAGCAAAATAAATAATGTCTCTGTTCAATTTCTACTCCAAAAGTGTAGATGCCCCATTTAGTCTGCCGGTATTTGATGCAGTCGTATCAAATACAAAACCTTGTACTTTATCAAGTAAAGACCATTTTTCTAAAGAATCATATACGGAGAAGAAGTTGTTCTCCATTTGGCGTTGAGACAATTACTGGAAGACGATAAACTTTTTCTTGTTAAGCCAGGAAGTAATTTTGAATCCCAATGTACAATAACAAAATCTACATTTAAACAAACAAAATCGAATGAACTTTTTCTGCGATTTCTTTTCGAATACTTTCTCGGCTATTTCTAATAGATGTTCTATTAATAATATAACTAGCCGGATTTAAAGAAAGACTTTCAATACATGCTGTTAATAAATGTACTGCGTCTCTATCACTGACCTTACACTTATCTAAAGCTGTAGAAAGCCTAGATGTCATGTTTGATTTGGTTGCTCTTTGAACTTCAGATGCACCGGGTATATCTNATAACAAAATCTACATTTAAACTAACAAAATCTGAATGAACTTTTTCTGCGATTTCTTTTCGAATACTTTCTCGGAAATTTCTAATAGATGTTCTATTAATAATATAACTAGTCAGATTTAAAGAAAGACTTTCTATACTTGCTGTTAATAAATGTACTGCGTCTCTATCACTGACCATACATTTATCTAAAGCTGCAGAAAGCCTAGATGTCATGATTGATTTGGTTGCTCTTTGAACTTCAGATGAACCGGGTATATCTTCATATTCTGAATTCATACTACATTCTATGTTCTCCTCTTCCTCGGAACTAGTGAATGCCCGTGTTTCAACTATAATATAATAGTAAAATAATTTATAATATGATCAATGAATAGATAGCTACAATAGGTAGTTGAATGTTTTTCAGTATTAAAATTGTAATAATTACCTTGTTCAATATTTGAAAGTTCAGCTTCATATTTTTGTCGTTTTCTTGCCTCTGTATTTTTTCTAATAGTTTGTCTTTTTTCTTTTTTCATAAGTTGCATGTCAACTCCTAGCAAACAACCTGGACGACCTGGCATTCTTTGTGAACGTAAAAATTCTTTATCAATTTCAATGTTCATTATGTTAAATGCATTTGCTTGTGCTATGTCAAATAAGTTGTCTAATTATTTTTCAAACTCTTTAATTTGAGATGTATATGTTTCGCTTTTCCGTTCTTTATGTTTTTCGAGATTTCGCCATAATTCATACGACTTTTCATACGAACATTTTTTTATAGTACTTAATTTATTNGTGAAAGTAAAAATTATTTTTCAATTTCAATGTTCATTATGTTAAATGCATTTGCATGTGCTATGTCAAATAAGTTGTCTAATTTTTTTTCAAACTCTTTAATTTGAGATGTATATGTTTCGCTTTTCTGTTCTTTATGTTTTTCGAGATTTCACCATAATTCATACGACTTTTTTAATTTCTTCATGCAATCTGTTCGATCTTTAATTGGAATTCGTGCTTTTTTCCAGAATATGATACATTCATCAATAGCTAGATATGCACTTTCTGACAAATTCATTTTCACTATTCGCATATTAAAAAATAAAACTTTCATACAGTCCCTTAGTGTAGGTAGTTTACTGCCGAGAATTTGATTATCCATTGATCCAATCAAATATATTGTCTTTCGTGGTATTTTTAACAAACGTCGACAATTTTATTTTAATAAATATAAAAACAATTTAAAAACTTAACTTTAAATAGAAACAATAAAATATCATTAATATCATACACAGCACATGACTTTACGACGATCACGGGTTGACTAACAAATAATATTCATAAATTCTATGGAAACTATTTAAAGATAAATCGTAATATCTAATAATCGATAAGATAACTGAGTTAATGGACTTAATAAAATAGGTATTAACTAAAAGGTATGTACAATATTCCCATGATAATAATTATTTCAGACCAAATTTAATAATAATATATAAATAATTTCAAAAGGTGATGAATTTTCCCAAATAANTATGATAAATCTTATGGTTTTCGAATAAAATACAAAAAACTACCCTCTGTCCTATATTTAAGTCTCGTGGGGCACGGGAAAGAGATGAGTAATTATGCTCAATTTTTTTACATATAACTTTTATATGATTATAAAAAAAAATGGGAGGGTCCAGCAATAAAAACAATAATATTTTTTTTTATCTTCTACAACTAAGGACCACCCTAATATATATATATATATATATATATATATATAGAAATAGAAATATACTGTAGGTTATTTTACTTACCAACACATATTATAATAATTTCTTTAATATGGTGAACGGCGCCAAGAGGCCGAGAATCAGTTCAATAATTTTTATGGTAATACTTCAAAATGTAAAAATTTTTTTTCTCAAATAATTTTAACTGTACAATCTGTAAATAAACAATTTTTACAATAAATACATTTGATTAAGTAAATGGGCAGGAATAGCTTGATAGAAAATACTATTTATTAACAGAACTTCATGACATGAGAGCTGCGGCTAGTCAGCTAGTAGATCACAGCATCAATTGTGCTTCACCTGGGTTACCTGGGACGGTGAGAGAAGAGAAGTTACGATAGAGGCAATTGGGATTTGAATTTACAGTGAAGGTGTTTTTGCTTTTAAGTTTTTTAAGTTAATTAATTGTATGATAATTTGTCAGGCTGTAAAATGTAAACAATTTGATTGCAATGACTCAAAACTCTTAGTTAATTATCTGTTAAATAAATTTACCAACCTATTATTGTCGGTAAACAACAAAAGACCGATTATCATGGTACCTATATAATAATAGGTAGGTACCATGTTCTATAGTGTACACTTTAAGGTAACGAAACGAAATTACTTACAGAGATCTTGGTTGGTTAAATATTGGTAGGTAATACTATTTAAGGATGATATATCAAACTGTAAAATTAATTAATAAAAAAAAACTAATTAGATACATTTGCTCAAAACTAAATCAGTTAAATAAACTTTTGCCTACCGGTATCCATAGTACCATGCACACCATCAACTGTTTTCAACACGGTAAACACTAATATGATGACAGACAGTTTCTTAAAATTAATTAATAATTATCAGTAGTTTAATATTATAATATAATATCATAATCCATAGTATATATTGGTAAATGGCAAAAAATAAAACAAAAAACCGTTATCAAAAAAACCGCCAACAAAAACGACGTTATCAATAGAAAGTCGAAATCCATAGATGATATTACGTTCCGTGAATGGTTTTAATGCTTTTGACACATTTTTATGAAAAACTGTACAGGTAAAAATTCTGTAAAAATATAAACGCGTCGCGGGAGGGCTAAAAGAGGTTATTTACCTCGAAAATAGGTAGCGAAACGGTCGGGGAAATAAAAAAATTGGAGGAAACTACCTGTGGAGGAAAAAGTCAAATTAATCGTTTTAGCCCGACTTAGGACGAGGTTTATACATGGGTTAAGATAATACTTATATCTTAAACCGTGGTTTATAGCACGAATTAAGATATTAATTTGTGGTTTATAGCAAGGAGTGTTGATACTAGTGATGGGAATCCGAAAATCCGGATTTTCACAAAAAAACAGCAATTTAAGCCATTTAAAAATCATATAAGTATTAAATATTTTTACAGTGTAAAGTTGTGTAACTAAGTAAAATATTTTTAAGAAAATGTAAAAATAAAATACAACACTAACAAATTTAATTGCTTTTGGATTTCGGATTTGTTGAAATCCGAAAGCATTTTATAATTAAAGTTAAGAGTTACATTTTTTAAATTTTTATCCAAACATTTAACTAAGGTACACAGCTGATAGTAACAAGCTTATAACAACTATGTGTTTTGTATCAGTGATTTTTTTGAAGATGAAGAAAATTCTAAAAATGAGTGGAAACAATTTTTGAAATCCGGAAAAACTGGTAAGGACTATAACTTTTTTAATGTATCAATATAATTATAACATGTTTTTACAAGTTTGTTTAATTACATTGCGGTATATCCTTGGGTATATCAGTGACGTAATTAGAACTTATCTTTGAGGTGGTTATACCATTATTATTCATTCAAATTGTTTCAATTTTTTTTTCAATATACTACAAGTGGAAAAAAAAATGTATGAAATTAAGTAATTTTTTATTAGATAATAAATTTAATCTGAAATTTGGTAAATATTTTTATCAGGTTACGAACCTTAACAAATTCAAATTATGGGTCAGTATAATCCGATGTGACTATTCTCTGCATGGGCGCAATTAGACTACTAATTTTGGAGGTGATAAATTATAGATACATCACCATGAGGCAATACCCTTTACATGAGACTTATAATAAGTGACTGCACATTTCATTTTTTTTTAAATATACATTGTCTGTTTAGGTAATCTGTATTTGTTTTGCCTATTAATTTTGAAATACACGGATAATATATTTAGTCGATACTATAAAAAAATGCATAAGGTATTTTTGGAGGTGCTAATTTTAAATGTGGGAATGCTAAGACTCCCTAGAACCCCCCTAGTTGTGCCTACTATTCTCTAGTGACCAGTTAAGTGTTAATGATTTTAAAAGTTTCTAAAAATATAACTTGATTAAATAATAATGTTTTTATTATCATTTATAAACAGTGGTAGGTATTAATTATTTCTTTTCTATACATAATATATCAATAAATAAATAAACATAGTATAATAATATAATTATAACATTTTATTGAAATCAATTTGTCAATGTACTTTCAAATATTACTACAATTGACATTAAAATAATATGTTTAAATTAAAATTGAATATAAATCTATTAAAGTGTATATAAAAATCGACCTTTGGGCGAATGTTAGTGTATTCTAGTGAGCAATTGTGAACTATCAAACTGCCATAATTTTTGGTGTTAATTTGTGGCATTGAAAGATACAAGAGTGAAATCACTTTATCTTCTCTACATTGTGTCTGGTACCTATATTTCTGCAAAGATTACACAAATCAATAGTGGTGTTTTTGCTTGTGTCAGTTCAACTTAAAGTTTGACTTATTAAAGCTAAATTAACCCGGATAACCCAGAATAAAATGATTAAATATCTTTGCAAATGATTGATAAATCTGAAAACCTTTTTTAGTATGACTTACTGTTACTACTTTTATAATATTACCATCAGAATTTTTTTTTGCTTTTTCTCAAATATTATACAAGTTGACCATTATATAAAACACTGTAAATAAATTGAACACCATATTATAATTTTTTGGAATGCAAGGTATTTATTATGAGCGTAGTCCATATAGGTATGTCACTATTTATTTTTCAAATCGAGTTGGTAATAACAAGTGCATTTCATTATAGGAATCCAAATAGCCAGCAACCATGCTTATAAAATTCAAAAATTCAAAGAAAAAAGAAAACAAAGTAAGTTAAATTTATTTTATTTGTTGTATTTTGTATACATTCAATATATATTACTTATTTATAATAGATGCTAGTATATTAAAAATATTAATTTTTATAACAGCCATTGAAGGAAAAACTGATGTTTGCTTGTTGTGCTTGTTCAATCAAACTTTGGCTAATAAACAACACATGGTTGTATCAACTAATGATCAGGTGTGGAATACTTTTGGTATTTTTATAAATTAAAAATATTAATTAATTCAATTTTTTTTTTAGTATATTTAGCTGGTAATAAAGGTCCATTGATCAAAGTGGAATTATTAATTGCAACAGTTGGTCATTATAAATCATTTCACAAAATTCTAGAAAAAGCACAATTAGAAGTAAACGTGTAATTACAACATTTTTTGAGTTTTATATTTTAGAACGTTAGTCACTAGGAAATTTAAATTAAATTTTTGTATTGTTAACAGGTTAAAATCTTCTTTGAATAAATATTTTCAAAGTTCTGGTCGTGGAGTTATATATTTTGAATGAAACATAATGTGCACGCACTTCAACCTACAAGTAATTCTAATAAATAGTTGATTTTATAAACCAGTGATCTCATTAAGCGGAATTCATTGTATTATAGTATTAGTTTTATGATATTATTTTGAAATTGAAATATTAAAACTTATGGAGTTATTGGCATCAAAATTATTGTTGGATGTTGAAGATCATATAGATCCTTTTAATATGTGTGTTTTTGTATTTATGTTTTTTTTTCTGTCTGAACAACTTTTCCACCAGAAAAGTAGTCAAAAGTATATACTATAATACACCTATTCTGAGAGGTAATTTTCTCTAGTTGTTGTATTGGGGGGGGGGTCATTTTTTTTTATTTTCTAAAGGGTTTTCAAAATAATTGGAAAAAACAGAAATAAAATTATAGGTAATTTTATTATGTTCACACTATATTTTTATCAGAAATATTGCTCCAATCCAAAAAAAGAAATTGAACGATTTTGTACCTATTAATATTTCGCCACTGACAAATTAAGTTGTCAAATATCCTAAGTTTTTTTTATAATAACTAGGAAAACCTAAAAAATTAAAACTGATTAATATTTACGGCATCATAATATCCTGGTTTAACTATTTTAATATGTTCAACTTATGTTTTCTACCATAAATAATACTTCAACAGAAAAATGATAGGAGATTGATTTTGTTTTTTTTAACACATTGTCATTGATAGAGAAAGTCATTTTTTGATGTCATGTATTTTTTATGATAATTGGGAAAAACCAAAAAAGACAAAAAGTAAAAATTTTTTCAAAATTACCACACAATTCCATACTTTTAATTTGTATGGCATATATTTCCTATCATAATATGATAATGATAATATGAATGTATAAAATTATAATACAAGTATGATAAATATGATAGATTAAGATAAGAGACCTATTTTATTGCATTTTTAATCTAGTTCATGAAAAAGTGTTTAGGTTTTTGATTTTCTCTGTAGTTATATTAATAGTTGAGCATAACTGAAAAAAACCTTAGACATAATAGGAAATTTTACGAAAATAACATTTTTATTATTTTCAATTTTTCTTTTTCATTGTAGTTCATTTTAAAAATTATTCATTGAAATTTGACATTAGAAACAGACAATTTATACTTAATTTTTCTATATGTGAAAATGTTGAGCTATTTATAGATTTTGCTAGTTTTTAAATTTAATTTTAATTTGATAGGTACCTATACCTCATGGATAAATTGTAAGACTTAACAGAAATGCTTGACAATTTGACAGGTAGTTCATTAAGTCATACCTTGTGGTTAAAAAAGAAAAAAACTGACATACTTGGCACGTAGGTGAGAAGTTAGAAAAATAGTAGAGTTGAAATTTAATGTATATCTGTAAGCAATGATAAACTATTGCTAAAACAATTCTGAGCGGAGTTTAGTTGATAGTGTTGCTTTGTCAACAATATTTTTTAGGAGCGGCCAATTCCGCAGACAATTCCAATATAGATCTCACTGTGTTAGAATTGATTTTTATACAATTATATTAGTGAATAAATCGCGATTTAATGTTGACTCATTTGTAGTAAGCTGTTTATTGTTTGCATGTATGAATGTAATTTAGTGTCTACTAAATTACATTGAGTAAATTGAATAAGTTTTCTAAAATAACTGTAATGATATTAATGTACTAATAGAATAATATAATTTCAATAGAGTAAAAATTGTAGTTTCAAAATATTTTAAAAACAACACATCAACTTTTTTTAGATACTGAGAACACCAACATTTTATTCGACTACTACACTTTCATAATTCATTACATCAATAATATATTAATATCATTTTTATACACATTTATTTTCATTTTTATATAATTTTATCTTTTTGAATCAGTTAGATATAGGTTTTAATATATTTTAATTGTATTTAAAAAGTGTTTTTATTTTATATTTTTGTAACCTGCAGATGACTTAGGCCAAAAATAATAGGTTCCTTTTATTATTTTATTATACTTTGGTTTTGAATAATATTCTGAGAAATATTTTGAATAATTCTATAATTCCTTAATAAATTAATTAAGTATACAATTTCCTATATTATATTATTAATAATTATTGTTAATAATACATAAGTTCATAGTTGTTAGTCACCATAGTACATACAAGACCAACCAATATTTAAAATCAACAGGAAATACCTGCCCAGGTTCTTTGAATTTCAGTTTAATCAAATATTATACTTAAGCAATGAACACTAAATGCAAAAATTTGCCCAATTCTTTTTTAAATTTAAAATGCCATTATTTATAATAATTATATTCAAAGTATAATTCTATATAATATATAGTTATAATATATTTAAACTTAAATTATAATACTTAGTCTTCCTTACATTTGTCATTATCTTGTAAAAGAGTTTGTTTTTCTGGAGGAGGAGTCCTAAAACAATAAAAACAATTTAAAGTTTAATTACAATACAAAAAAAGTAACACAAATTACCATGGATAGATAAATAAATAAACACTTACTTTTTTGATTTTAGCAGGATCTGATTAATACTCATATTCAAAATCCCATTGTTTTTAAAGTCCAAGCTACACAATATAGCAGTCAGTAGCAAAGAAACTAAAATCAGTTTTTTTTTAAACATTTTATTTAAAATTAAAAAGATATACTTATTTATTTAAAATTTCAACATTAATAATAAATTAGAATAAAAAAAAATATAACACTATATATTATATTATTCCTATAGTATATGGTAAAAAGAAAAATATACTTCATTTAATCAAAATTGTATATTTCAGGTTAATTTTTAGAGTAACTTAAATATTGAAATAATACTTTTCATGATGGGTATTTTTTAAATGCATCAATTGATTATAGTTACAAGCTAAATAATAACTCAGAATTCATTAAATTTTCAAATAAATTTAACTTAGCCAAATTTTTTCAATTAATGTACATAATCCTTAAATCGAGTTTAATAACACTATTTCAGAACTCCTATTTGTAAAGTAATATAAAATTTACCTGATATTAATAGACAGAAACATAATCCCATCATATAGTAGTCATTTGTTTCCACAATTATACCAGTCATTAAAGCAACAACAGCAAGACCAAAATTTTTAGCAGATTGAGTTCTATATAATGCAAAAATAAAACAATATTTCAAGTATTTAACTATACACATATTAAATAAAATGCTGTATAATAGTGTAATTAATTAATTTATACATACTATATTTAAAACTGTAAATTTATAATTATTATAAAATATTTTAATAATAATTAAATTACTGCTGACAATACATAAATTTAATTTGCATTATAATTTTAACATGTTGAGATCTCTCATTATATACACCCATTTTTAATTCATTTTAGCTCTGATTCTCAGTTTATAAATTTCAAAATATAAACCAGCTAGAAATAAAATATATAAATCACTTGCATGCCATATGCAGTTCCCATTTGATGCTCAGGGATAATCAATGCAATAAGAGACCATAATGCACTTGCTAATATTGAATAAGAAAGGCCCATTATAAACTAAAAAAAAAATTAATATAATTTAAATTATTATTATAGATACTTATTTTATACTTGTTTACAAGTACTGTAAATATAGATTAACTCTAATTACCATAGCAATATAGGGGTTGACAAATGTAAATGTCAAGACCATGTGTGAAACTAATGTACCAAAAATTGATAAAAATACCCAGAATAAATTTCTCCCAGTCTTATCAATTACCAAACCAAAAAATGGTGCACATAAAGCTGATATAGTGTAAACAATTCTGGTTGTAAATTTAGCTTCATCTAGTGAAAAATTGTACTTTCTTTCAAAAAACACCCTGAAAAATATAAATAATAGGCACAATAAAAATATCATGTATGAAAAAAAAAATGTGCATAATATGTAAAATTGTATGTTTGCATGAAGTTCATAATATCATACAAAAAAGCTTACATAAAATTAATAACTATATACATTTTGAACAAATAAAAATGAATAGTTTTTTGAACTCTATATATACCATATATGAATAAGTTATAAGGATAGAATAAAATAGTAATCTCCTAACATATTTTGTTTGTATAAATAAAAAGTATAGACATATGTCCTGCATGGGTGCAGCCACTGTTGTAGGTTGGAAGTTGAGAAGACTGGATACCGATGGGAATTTAATGTATATCTGTAAGCAACAATAAACCATTGCTTACTAAAAAACGATTCTAAGCAGAGTTCAGTTGATAGTGTTGTATTGTCAATAATATATCATATTAGTGTGAAATGATTACAACAATGTGCATTTCCAAGACAACAATAATTGTTTAAAAAAGATTTTTTAAAATAATAACAAAAAAATAAATAAAAATAGTTGCCAATGACAATCTTATTGATAATCTTTCAATCTTTTTAAACCTAAAGAACCAGGTTGTTCTCATTAGCTCAAATATTAATGATAATTTCAAAAAATGGCCTATCTAAAGTCCCATCCAGAAAACATTTTCTTTCAAAAAATGCTTTTGGTAGAAAAAGTGTTCACATAAAAAAAATTTAAAAAAAATTGTAAAACCAATACATTCTTCTTAACACAGAATATAAATAATAACTATGTACAATTTAATGTACTTTTTTTTTAATAATTTATCAATAATTTTTTGAATTAACCTATTATCAAATTTAAATGAAAGAACACCATCTGTGTCTATAGAGTTTTTTGTCATTTAAATTTTTAAATAGATATGAGAGTGAAATATCACAATTCAATAATGATTATATCTTGCCTAAAAATGTAATTATTGGAAGAAAAAAAAACTAATGTACAAATACAAATATAGTTCTTGGATTTTGATAATAGGTCAATGCTTTCTAATATCAAAAGTAATAGCACTAAATTGGGTCTGCTGAAGGCATATTTGATATTAGGGAAAACAAACTATTTGTACATCATGTGTTGTTTTTTTTTTTTTTGTAAAAATTAAATATAATTTAAAAACTATATTATTATTGAATAATGTTAGTTAATATAATAAAATTAACTTACTCTCCTAATACTACCAATGGAAATATAGTTGAATAATAACAAACAATGATTAACATAACAAGCCAAAAGATCTTTGGTAAGTTTTTAGTATCTTTTATTTGCACAACTTCTGTAGCATCAAGTACCCTGAAGTGAAGTAATTTTTCAGCTCTTTTATCTTGCCAAGCAAGTAGTAAAGCACTTAACAGTGATAAAACACAAGTCAAACTCGCTAAATTATAAAAAAGTAATAATAATAAATACAAATATTTTATAAAAATAATATTTCTAATTTTAATAAATACCAAGTAACAAAACAATTGATAAACTTTCATAGTTTGGACAATGATATGATATACGATTTTTCACATATCCATACAATGGTTTCATGACAATGAAATTTACTGTTGAACCAAATCTGGCAAAACTTAATTGAAATCCAAACACCATATTAAGTTCTTTTCCTTTGAACCATAAAACAGCATAGTTATTTTGGGCAATAGCCAGCCATTCACCTCCAATTCTGTGTAATAATGATAAAAATGGAATAATTTAATAACTAGTTTAATTTCAAAAGTATTCTACATATAATTGTGCAAGCACCTAAATTGTCATTAAGATATTTTCAATTAAATAAAATGTGTTAAATATTTTAAAATGTACAAATTCATAATTTTTAACAAATAATTTAATATAAATTAAAAGTTTTTATTGAAATTATAAATTAATTATTTGATAAATTTTCAATGAAACTAAATTGTTAAAACTGTACTTTATAACAATAATAATCATATTAATCATTAATATAAATAATAAATTATTTAATTAGACATTAATTGCATGTAATCAAAATAAATAATAACAAGAATTAAGTTATTTTCATTTATATAAGTGTTTATTGTATTTAGTGTATAACTGTTAATTAAGTAATTGAGTTTTAGATTATTTTTTGAGTACTTTATAAAACATTAAGTTCTTGTTCGTTAAGTTACTCAATATTTTTTCCTTTAAAAATATGATTGAATTTTGTTTTAAAACATAAAATTACTTCGAGTAAAAAAAAAATTAAAAAATTGATTATGGGAAAATGCCTAAGTTTTTTTCAGATATGTATTTTAAATGAGACATTTTAATTACCATTTGCATAACATGGATGATGATTTATATGATTGATTGATTTTTTTGTTTTACTTTTTTCAATGATATTTTTATTATAAATTACCTATCAATTTTAGTTAGTATTTTAATAGTTTGTTAAGTTTTTAGGTTATTTCTTCACATTTTTTTTTTTTTCTTGAAACATAATTTTATTATACATTAAATAACTACAAAGTAAATCAATCCATTTTTAAAATATATATTGTAAGTATTTCAATAAACTTTAAATAGTTCTTGTTATTATTCTCATCGTACCAGGAAAAATTGGAATAAATACTAAATACAAAATTACCTAAATATAAATCGACCAAGTAACATAACCCAGAAGATGTTCACAAATGCTCCAAAAGCAAATATGATTTGGCCTAAAGCCACCAAGACTGCACATTTTATAGTACTTATATGTGTTCTGGAAACACTGAAAATTAAAAATTAGGTATAGTAACTATTTTAAGCATATATATACACAGAAGAAAAAAATTATAAATATATATTCAAATGGAAAACCTGTCAATTAATAATCCACCAATGGTACACATAATAACATTAAGCCAAGAATACCAGGAATTCAGATAAAGAAATTGGGTAGTAGATAAATTCAAATCTTGTATTAAATTTTCTTGTAAAGCACTAGGAATATCAAAACAAAAATATGAACCTAAACAATAAAAATATTATTAAATATTGACAAATATACCCAAAGGTACTAAACACAGTTAATAATATTTACCAAATCCAATCAAGAACATGAAAAACAAAGCTAAAAGTCGTTGAAATATGTCACTTGGATATTTCCATGCTATTTTAATATCTTTTTGGTTATTTATTACTATTGTAGATACACCTTGTTCAACCATTTGTTCAGTAGATTCAAATTGTTCAGCCATTTGTTCAGTAGATACAGCTTGCTCAGCCATTTGTTCAGTAGATTCAAATTGTTCAGCAATTTGTTCAGTAGATACAACTTGCTCAGCCATTTGTTCAGTAAATACACCTACTTGATGTACTGTCATTTAATAGGACGAGTCTAAAATCCTGACTGAAAAATCGTGCTGTGAACAGTGTGACCTACTTAATAAAATTCTGAATCGATCGGTATCCAGGCCAAAATGCAAAACTCATAAGAAATACATAGCAGGCTGACCGAGAGCCCAACAGACAGTGTGACCAACATATTAGTTTTATACTATTAACTGCAACTATCAATATGGGGATGGGTATGGCAGCCACTGGTGTAGGTGGGAAGTTGGGAAGGTAGGATACGGCCAGGAATTTAATGTATATCTGAATACAACGATAAACCATTGATAATGAAAAACGATTCTGAGCGAAGTTCAGTTAATAGTGTTGCTTTGTCAACAATATATATGTCATATTATAGTAAAATAGGGTGAACATATTTAAAAAAATAAAATATAAGAACAAAATATTATTCATAATATTTTTAAATTACTAAGTATTTATTATATTTTTTTTGTTGTTTAAACTATTAAAGATTAAAATTAAACACATAAAAATATTATTTTGAAAAACATAAAATAATACATAATTAAACTAAATTAAAACTTTTTAAAATTTCTTCAAATCTTTTATTCATGTATATTGTATACTTTACTTTTTTTTTAAAAAACTTGTGAATTTATTTTGATGACGATTATTCTGACATTTCTTCACTATTTGACATTTCATATTTTTCTGAAGAGCTAATTAAGTTTAACAATTTGGGATGTTCTAAAAGAAATGTATGAAATTCAATAGACGACATATCTTTAAAATATTGTTTTACGATTATAATTGATCTAATGGTGTCCATAAGAAATTGATTTTTTTCATCTGTGCATAAGACGTTTGTAATTGAAAATACTCTTTCTACCAACGCAGTAGTTTCGAGAATAGCCAAGGAATACTCTAACATAATCGTAAAATATTTAATGGAAATGTTATTTTCTTCTACAATTTAAAATATTTCACACCTCCTATTTTCAATTTTTCCAGTTTTGCATTTTAAGCTTCATTTTATTTATCACATGATTAAATTCGTCAAAAAGTTCATCTTCATCGATTTTTAATGTTGTATTATTCTTAATAATATATTTAATACTTTCTTAAACATCACACCAAATTGGAAAATATAGTATTTGAATCCAACGAAAAACGTTTAATGGTTCAAAGTGACATCCCCATTATTCTGTGTCACATAGTTTATTCTTATCAAGATCTGAAATAAATTGAGCCAGTTCTGATGTAAAAAAATTTTGACTTTTCCGATTTTTTATTTTACCTCTTAACACTTCTAGTTCTTCATACAACTCACATGCCGATATATGATCACTTTCAATCTTCTTTATTGTATCACATACCACCTTCAACTGACTTTGTATAAAATACAACCATCCTATGGTTACAGGATCATTAAAGAAAGTTCTTAAAACTGTAGGACACGTTTCTTGCGACATAAAATATGACTTCAATGCAGGATATAAATCTATTATTTTAGAAACGACTGGCTGTAGGGATAACCAATGCGTTTTCACAGATCCTAAAATATGTTTGTACTCAATATTAACAAAATAGCAAATATCCTTGAATTTTTCTGTATGAACTGTATAAATATGAAAATACTGCAATATTTTATTAATTATGAGTTCAATGTCAGTTGGCAAAATATCAGCACTACTATACATAGCATTGTGTAGAATATGTACAGCACAACCAATACCTGAAAAATTTCTTTTTAATTTGTCATTAAGAATTGCAAAAACATTATTTGTGTCTTGTCTCGAAACACCACCAATACTTGTATTGCAGTTGTCCCCCGAAAATGTGACTATTTAACTTGATAAATTATATTTTTTTAAAACATTCATTATCTAGTCTGTTAAAATATTTGCTTGTTCTCCTTTTAAATTCATAAATTTTATCACTTTTATTTTCATTCCTTCTAATGGGTTAAAATAACGAATTAGAATTGGAACCAGTTTTTATTTTTGTAATTTGATGTGTCCATAATAATTGTCTATAATTTAATGGATTTTAGTTCATCTAACATCTGTTGAATGGCAAAAGAAGTTATTACATTTACAATTATAGATTCACATTTTGTGTGAGCACAGGGAAATTCTTTTTCGTGAACTTTTTTTATAATTGATGTTGTACAATCCATAGACCGAAATGAATGGTTATGTTTTATTGTATGATATGCAAAGAGACCCTCTTCTGCCGCAATATGTTTGTTTTCATTTGTTGACTTTACATTACTAATGAAAAAAATCGTTACCTTATCTGAAGAACTGCTTAATACGGCCAATAAATGTTTCTTCTATTTAACATGTTGTGTAATATCTGAACGACTACCGTTTTCTATTGAAAAAACTGATTTATATACAGTATATAAAACCTTTCCAATTTCATTATCATCTCTTAAAAATGGAAATTCTTTTTTTAACTTATAAGTAAATGCACACCTTCACTTAGGCATTTTAATTGATTACTTTCATACAAATTTACAATAATATACATTACGATTAACAAGTCGACGACAATCAAGACTCAACGATTGTTGGATAAGTAAACTCATTTAACAAAATTATTAATTGAAATAAAATTACCAAATAATAACCTATAAAATTGCAAAATTATTCTTATAAATAGGTTTCCTAATATATTATCATAATATATATATAACCAATGGCGTATCCAGAATTTTTTTTTTTTTTGGAAGAAGGTTGAATAAAATATAACAAATGAAATTGTTTTTAATTTTGTGTGTATTATAATCATACCTTTAAACATTTTATTACCATTTTAGAGCTCTAATTATATAAAAGTTGAAATATTTATCGGTTATAAAAATTAAAAATATTTATTCATATTTCATTTTGATATTTAAACAAGTTAATGTATAACATCATTGATATAAAAGTTGATATCGCGATGAATATATTTTAGTAAGGCTAAACCATTTAAACATATTTGTCCTGAAGAATTTCTGAAATATGTTTTCAAACGACACAGTGTCACATTCTCCGGTGGCAATAGACATGGAAGTGTTAAACATATTTGAAGAAGTTTAGATATTATTGAATAAACATCAGTTCGGTTGATGGCGATGCTTTGTCAACAATATATATATTATGTTATATAATAGTAAAAGAATTAAATAGGAAAAATATATTTTATTTAATAATATTCATTCAATATTGTACCAATTTTCTTGTTTTTCTTGCGTTTTTCCAGGATTTTCACATTTTCTGGGAAAACTCTAAAGAAAATCAAAAATGGCTACTCTAAGTAGCTAGCCAGCCATATTTCTTTTTAGGAAAAGTGCTTTCAAAATAAATTGGATAAAAAAATTGTTGGAAAAAAGTTGTTAACGATCAAAATATTGTATTAGTACCTAAATATTGTACATTCTACATTATTCCGATATTTTATCCAGGTTATTCCCAGATATTACGAAAACCGCTTTAAATATCAATTAACAAGCAAATTAAATATTCTGTTATAATATAAGCTGAACATCTTTATAATCACCAGTGATATTCAAGGGGTATATCTTCGTGGGACAAAATATATATATACACGTCGCACCCTCTCTTAATAAATGATAAAATTGAATAAATGATAATAATAATAATATTATACATGGATAAAGCATTAAACCGTGGTTTTCAGTGTGGTCAAGCAAATATTTAAATGACCTAGCTCCAATTTGTTATCAAAGATTTTACATGGTAAAAGTGTGATAACTGCAGTGTTGATAAGAGGTATACTAATTTGTTAAAAATATTATATACGTATAATAAATAAAAATTATAAAATATTTAATAAAATTCATTAACTTTAGATCAATTTAAGAATAAATTATACTTTAAATTCGAAAATTAAACCTTATCAAAATTTATAAAATCCGCAATTTTACATAGACAGCTGATTAATAATATTTGTTTGGTTATAGTATACCACAACTAACCACGTATAACCATAATGGTGACAACTATTCTCTTCTGGAACAGTAACCAAATAAATGAGGTATAGTGAATACGTCTTTTCCTTTACGAATACGTCGTTTTTAATCTATGTATAACTTATCTATGGAAAAAATATAATTTAAACAATTTGAATAATTATATTTACCATACTCTTTGCATACTCTTCCCAATAGATTTGTTGCTTATAGTAATACATAAGTAACAACTCAGAAACATGTGGAACTCTGAAGCAGAACCCAATGAAGACAATAGCGTACGTTTGTTTGATAAAAATATATTGCAACTTCAAATAACCAATTTTTATTTTTATAGAAATTGGAACAGACAGCCAAACGAGAATTAGACCATGGTGGCTCAGATGATAGTACTTCAAAGGCCACTGAAGATAAAGCCAAAAAGCAGCGTACAGAAGTTATTAATAACCCGACAGACACTAATGATAGAAGGTAAATTTCTGTAATTTATCATTTTTTGTTAAAAAGTTTTGTATAACTGTTCTAACATAATATTCTGCTGTATTGTTTTGTTCACTTAGATATCAAACTAACTCAGAAACATTGGGACCGGTCCAACCTATTGATGCAGCAATTTATCTGGCTAAANAATCAAATATGAACAACAGTTTATCAATACTTGTGGATACTCTTTTATGTATCTTGGAACCCTTATTTTGTCTTGCTCAACAAGTTCCAGAGTTATATGTTCACTCCCAAGACATACTGGAAAACCTTATGGATGATTTAGATAAAATAATGCAAGGGTTTTAAAGGATTATAAAAAATAATTAAAGTAAATTCATTATTATAATTCACTATTAAAAATACATTTTTGCTTGTATTCATTAATATATTAATCTTTTAATATTAGTTTGAAAATATAGTTTATCTCCATTTATTATATTAAATTTATATACAAACCACATTGCAATAAAGAAATAGTAAGACAACTACATGTTAACAAAGTTATTTTATTCCAATGATAGTTTTAAAACAGAATGAACTATAATAATAAATTTCAAATTATATAAATAAAAATGTTTTCTTTTTATCCATGATAAAATCATGGGTTTTAATCATCACACAATTTCCTTATTTAATATTTCCTTCATTGACAATCCTAAATACCATTTAAATAAAAGTCAGAAAAAACTTGATTATTTCACTATTAAAAATATGTTATGCATGTGAAATGAATATTTTAAGTTTTGAATATATTACCACGTTTAAAACAAATATATCATATCTACAAAACGATTGATCTCTTGATAATTTTAAGACATTTTGAAATAATATAATTACTTTAAAAATATATTTTTTTTTTCAAAATGATTGCACTTAAATAAGACATAATTTCAAACTTTAATAACTTTTCCATTAGCAATACTAAACACCACTTAACACAAACTTAAACGGAAAAACTGGAAATATTTCACTATTAAAAATACATTTTTGCTTGTGAAAATTAATTTTATAAGTTTTTAATATGCATATTATATTTGTAAAGACTGTTATAAATAATTATTCAAGCAAATTGTATTGTTTATTTTTATTTATTACTTTTTAATATGTATAGTTAGATTAGGTTATTCAATTGATTTCAATTAATTGAATAATTTTTTCAATCTAATTTATACCTACCATAAATCTTAAATTGTAGGTATACATTGTACATTTTAGTTCAAATCAGTATCTATTGTGATCTTCTAGTCACAAACTAATGTTAACCTTATTGGAACATTCTATTTTGATCCATAAGTCACTAACCTTTAACCCTCTCATCGCTGGGAACATTAATCATTAACCTCTTACCTCTCTCCTCTAGTTATTGGAAATTATTTAAATTTTTTTGTTGTTTAGCTGTTATGACAAAAGTGAGATAAGACACTTGATAATATTGTACCAGTAAATTTTTGAAATACCAGAAATAATTAAAAATTTATTTTCTATGGAAGGGAACCGTGAAAGAATAATGATGGTGGAGCGGTGCGCTCGCAGCTGACTACAATGGCATATCCAGAATTTTTTTTTTTAGGGTTGAAAGAAATACAACAAATAAAATTGTTTTGAATTTTGTGTGTATTATAATCATACATTAAACATTTTAATACCATTTTAGAGCGCTAATTATATAAAAGTTGAAATATTTATCTGTTTTAACAAGTTAATAACATCATTGATATCAACGTTGATATCACAATGAATATATTTTAGTAAAGCTAAACCATTTAAAGATATTTGTCCTGAAGAATTACTCAAATATGTTTTCAAATGACACAGTGTCCCATTCTCTCGTGGCAATTGACATGGAAATGTTATGCATGTTTGAAGAAGTTTAGATATTACTGGATAAACATCTGGATTAGTTTGAAATTAAACTTCAATAGAACTTTTGTTCTTGAGTTCTGAAGATGTTAAATTTGAATATTTAGTTTACCACAAATCTAATTATCAGTTTAATATGTGATCATTTAAATTTGAATCATTACATTCATTTATTATATTTTGATACGTTTTTATTAAATGTTTGAATTCACTTTTAATTTCTTCAGATATTTTAAATTCTGTCTTGAGTAAAATACAATGAAAATTATTTAAAACAAACATGTGGGATATAAATCTTTCGTTCAATTGGTCTAAACAACTATCTATGAAAAGTATGAATACTTAAAAAAATATTCTGAATCATCTGATTTAGGTTGTCGTTGCAAACTAACAGTAATATAATATTTTTCCTAGATAGCAATTGCGGATAAAAATGATTGTTGAAACTTTACATCACAATTTTCTCTAATATCCTGAATATTATTTTGAACATTAGCTGCTTGTAATGCAGTTTTTAAATCAAGATGTTTGAAGATATTGGTTAAGTGGAAAACCTATGAAAAGTATTTTCACTAAAATAGATAAAAATTGTTTGAAATTTTAACTGCTTTATCGCAGTAAAAGATGACTTTCAGAACTAGAAATATCAGAATCTGTCCAAAGTGTAATTTTATCTAGTGCCTGTAAAATGGCTGGTTGAAGTTCTTCAAATAATATAACTGCATCATGGCAATCGACCCATTGAGTTGCACATAGATATTTTAGTTTAAAACGATTAATTTTCGGATATATTTCTTCTATTGACGATTGCAAAATACTTGGTCTTTTTGGATAATCGAATGCGATAACCGATAACAATAGAGCTACCTATCAATGTAATATACACACTACACCGGACTAGACTAATTTGTATTATTTGCGCGCCACTCCCTCCCCCTAGGAAGGCGCGACAACATTTCAGGGGAGGCGTGAACATTTTGGTGGAATGCGACCCGAGATGCGCGTCACCACAGTAATCGCCGAACATGAAAAATCGATGATTGGAACTAAACGGTGCTCTTACATACTTAATAATAATAAATTCGAAATTAAATATGTAAGAAAGCGAATGTCATGTAATTTATTTTAATCATTTTCAAATGACAATAATAATTTTTCCCTAACAAACAATATTCATTGAATATTCAAAAAGACGGGCCGCATATACCGCACTCGCGTTTTACTCGTGCGCGCCGATCGCAGCGAAATCAAATCGTCGTCGTCGGGTAAAGTGATAGGTTTTGGTGGCCGTCGCTCGTCGCGGGTGCTCGCTAATCGTCACCGCGTCGAACGCACCTGTAGTTACCGACTTAGTATTTACCATAATTGTTATTGTATGTTTGTGATGTGTGTGTGTGTGTGTGTGCGTGCGTGCATTTTTCACCCTCGCAGGTCACGACCATTTGGCCAGACTGCGCTCCGACCATTCGTAATAGGTATTGCGAGTGCATTCCTGTGTGCAGGGCGGTCAATCTACCGTAAGACGGTCGTCATCCCGGAATTCGTTTTCCAGAATATTTAAGAAACAAGCAGTTCAACAATATTGTACACAATACATTGTGTATATTTTTCGGGGGAAAACCACTAGTACCCACTTTCCATTTGCAAACGGCAACCTGTATTGAAAATTCCATACATAGACGGAGTATTAGTTGAAACGAGCGTCGGTGTTGGAATTGTCGATCCGTCGACGAGGTATTCCACTTTTGTGTTCGGTTAGGAGGGGAGCAGTGGGGTATCAATGTATCTCATGTGCGGCGGTAATGCGCACGGCGCGGCGTGTTGATAATGCACCACCACTCCCCGTCTAAACAGAACTTGAAAGTGAAATATCTCGTCAACGGATCGACGGAAACCGAAAATTCCAACGCTAGAATCTATTTCAAATAATATTCCGTCTACTTGTGGAATTTTTCATACAGGTTTGACATTTGAAAATCAAAAATTGGTACTAGTGATTTCCCCCCCCCACCCATTAAAAATAAGGTTGACGAAAAATTACATAAATTTAAAATTGTAGAGCAGCTTGTTTCATAAACATTCTGGAAAACAGATTCCGGAAAAAATTAACGCCTCCCGGGATGACGAGTGCTTTACGGATTGGTTGATTACCGGCCCGTATAGTCGGTTCGTCGTTACCCACCACGCATAAATGTCTGTACACCACGGTCCGTTTCAGTGTCACCCGGAGCAGCTGTTATTGATCGTATCGTTACGATCTGTCCTTGTTTTTCTTATCGTTGCACCGGCATATTATCAACCTCACCGCAGTTACCCGGTCAATACCATTTTTGTTTATTATTTTTGCATTATTTATTCGTTTTGTATCGCTGTCCGTTTATTGTTTACACAAAATACAAACCGTGATTACTGATTGCCAATACCTTTGCCGTCATTTCCCCCCCCCCATAATTCCAAGTCACGCGCCGCACTGACGCACAGCACGACTATGCCGCTAGCGGCATTCACTAGATTCGCCCGGCAACCGCCGACCACTCTCCCACCGCCGAGCGTTGCGCACCATTCCGCATCGCCGGTCGGTTAGCCGATTTGTCGAAAAAATAATTGGTGTCCGGATAACGCGAAGTTATCACTCAGCCCCCCCTACCCGTTCACCAACAGTTATTATTTATCTACAGGGTAAATACCCGTGTACCAAACGAATGTCGCGTGAATACTCGCGAAACGGGGATTAGGTTCAAACACGGGAGTGCTAGACGCCCGTGGGGACCTACGCGGACGACGATCCAGGCGGACTGTCGCCACCGCGTCCGGCGCACAGACTTTTACTCGATTATTTTAAAAAAAGCGAATAAGTCTCAACCACATTTACTTCCGAACGACCGATAGGCGATGACGCAATTGCCGTGTAACGTGACGAAATAGATCCCGCGTCACCGGCAGACGCCGGTTGATATTCCGATGATGATTTACGTCAGGTCAGAGACGTGTTCAGATCGCGAGACAATACGGTCCCGAGTCGTTTGGATTCCGCCGCGTTATTAGATTTCGGCCGTATGGGGAGACCCACGGATCCGTTCATTATTGATATGTTTTAGGCATTTTAAAAATTTCGTGTTTATTCATATTAGTTTATTTTTTTTTTATCACGAGTAGGTATGATTAATTTAAAACGATCTACCTATATCTATAACCTATCTATTACGGTGGCCATTACCATCAAACTATCTCAGTTTGTGGTTTATAAATACAAATCTCATCAGTCCCCTGTCTTTTCACGCAAATTCGAAAAGAGAATAATTTTCCAAACAATTGGACGTGCGTAAAATTAATATCCAATTTACCATTTATGAGATGCTATTCTTCTCGCATCACGACAATAATATTATATTATTACATTGTGGTACCCAAATGACGCTGAGTTCGCGGTTCTGACAAGTGCGAGGTTTTCATTTTATTGGAAAGTTCAAAAAAATATTTACCTACGACATACCAACTATTGTGATAATTGTACACGGTACATAGCATTCGGGTATATGGACTTTTAGATCAAGACACGACAATTTGATCCCGTGACAACTAGATCCACACTGTTACCAAAGATACGGTTCTAAACGAACCAGGTCCTATTTTGTTTGTACACCCATAATAATTGTTATTTGGCACGAATGATCATCGGGACGATTTAAAGACTGATGAGAGACGAATAAATGTTAAAATATATTATTGTCGGCCAACGTAATATTCGATTGTACCGTTGACACAATATTTTATTAAATTATATTTATGGATTGTGCTAAGATATCTCAGTCCGTGCATTGTACATTGTAATCACGATGTAGAGAGTATCCTCTCTACATCGTGATAGCGATATTATTATCTACGTTCGGTGATAATAGCGTGTCTATAGTATTTGATTTTTTTGGCGTCTGCGTGTACGTCCGTTCACCAATATCTACTTTGCGAGTTCACGATTCTGGCGTTCACGAGCGCTCGGCGTTCGTCCGCTCCGTGACGATGTGCTGCGCGGGGGGGACTAGCGGGCAGGCGTCAAACACGGCGATTGCGCGTACTCGCGCCACTTTGCTTGTGTTTTTCACAGTGTACTTGTCTGTGCCGTAGCCCGCAGTTGTTCCATACTGCACACTGTTGACAGTTACTGTCCGCGCCAACGGTTTTCGATACTCTTCCGCGGCGGCGTACCTTCCGTTTGTTCCAAACAGCGTGCGCGCGCGTTCGCTTACGTCACGGTGCTCGGTGGGTTTTTTTTTTTTTTTTGTTGCGGTACCAATACTTTTTCTTATAACATCCCGTCTGATCGGTTTTTTTTTTCTGCTTTCAGCCCACCGGATCCTGTGGATCGTTCGCCATCGTCCCGGTCGCTAATTCTACGACGGACGCCCGAGGTATTAATCGTGACCCGCGACCGTCCGCCTTGATTTTCGACGACATCCGGCCCAAAAAGGTATGTCGAGTCGAAAACCGCCTACTAAGTATAATCGACTGTCTGTCGGCATCATCCGACTACTATTAAAGATACCCGCCTATTAACTCGTTAGTTATTACATTATTATCGCAGTGGTCTTAAGTTCACTTGCGTTCAGTTGGGTAGTTTTACCTACCTGAGTTTGCTGGTTTTACAAAATATTTTGAATTGTTCGAATTATAATTTATTATGCGGTTGGACGGTTTGGAGTGAAAGGTGACCCAGTTAACCTTGTGCTCGTTTTTCTAACGCACATTCAATGTACTTTTTCGTTCAATAACACTGAGCCAATAACTACTGTTGTGACAACAGTATGTCTGTACCCATTCAATTTTCAAATCTACATTCTAGTTACAGTATACTACCTAACCTATTATGAACAGTTACACGTGTGCCTTGGAACAAATTGTTCCTATAAAAAATATTATAATTATTAGGCGCTTATAATAAAGAGGCGTATTATAAAACTTGATTAATTCAGTAATATAATTATTACAATTGAATTCTAATTGAAATATAAATTTTAAACTGAAGGTTAACTAATTATAATATACGTCAATATTTGGCATTGAATAATTAATTTATTTTGTATTATGCAATTCATCATTTAGCTATACGTCATGTCCAACACAACATTTTATTACCTAAGTGGTTTTTTTTTTCGTTTGTGTCTTAATAGTTATCATTTAATTTTCATAATAACTTTCCGTACTTATTTTTTTTTTTTTGTAATATAAAACCTGCATTTATAACTATTAAAAAAAAGAAAATACAGAAACCTTGAAATTTTTGATAGCTGGCACCTAACCTGTTTAGTATTAGAAAGTGAATTCCTTCATGACAATATCTCTGTAATAAGATAAATTATGTGTAGTTTTTATACCAATCTGTTTAAAATAAATAAGTTTATTCTAGATGAATACATACATTTTGCTTTCTATACTACTTTTTTTACTTTCTATTGTATAATACCTTTAATCTATAGTTTGAAAATCTCCTTTTTTTGTTTAAATAACGACCAGCCTATTATAATACAATCGTTTTAACTCTACTATTATTATGTGGATTTTATTTAATTAGTCTTCTGTGAAAATTAATTATTTGTATTTGTTATTTTTAATTTATATATATAATATGTTAATTTTTTAATATTTTTATCTAGATTTTTACCATGCAGATTAAAAAAAGCAGAAACTAATTATTAGGGATAAAATAATTAGATTCATTATTATAATTCACAACATTTATAATCAATATCTATGTTTTTTTTTTAAACCAGTGTTTAAAATAGCTACAATAATTAATACCATTATAATCCACTGTAATTATTTTTCAATCATTACTGATAGCGACTAATTAATATACATTTACTTGATTTAAACACTGGTACTAATTTAATCCTATCTAGGTATTTAAACACATAAATGTATGGGTTTGGACTTTGGTTTCACTTCATTTTAATATTTTATTACTTACTAGTATTTCTGTTGTCACCTTTACTCACACAGGGTATTTTTTTTCCAAGTTTTGTTTCTTATATTTATTAGACAAGTAAATAAATTAAAACCAATTTAGATGTAAACAATTTGTTTCCAAGTTTTATTTTGATCATTTTTATAAAACACAATTATATTATAAAAGCTAAGTCTATTTATATTAATTATTGGATTACAAAAATAAGACATTCTGTGTTTGAATCATAATTACTCATATTTAAAGTGAGTGTTCCTTCAACATCTTTATCATCTGGCACACCACCCCAAACTTCATCATCACTGATCGCATCATGTAGGTGTTCTTTCAAGTTCGTTAATTTTGAATTTTAAAAACAAGAAAAAAAAAACTGAGAACGAATTACTTGCATGGAGTAATTTATTTACAAACGCTGACGCCGATAACTTTTTGACATTCTAGTAGGTGTAAAACCAAGATAACCCAAAATCGGTTATATTATATCTATAAACATATTGTTTGAGGCTATGGAAATTTTTAAATATATATTTTCACGAAATATATCATAAAATGATAAATTAAAATATGGTGGGGTCATTATTTACCCTGTGCAAGTGACGGCAGGTTAAGTACCAAATATTTTAATGGGAAAAAATTTGCATCAACATTTCGTAAAAATTTCAATTTAATTTATTTGGAAAATGTGAGACACTACCTCTCTCATTAGGGCAAGCAATTTTTGCGAATATTCTTTTTGATTTCATTTTGAATTCCATGCAACAAATTATATTATGGGTGGAATTATTCTGTACTAATGAGAAAGATAATATATTATATTAAGATAACTCCTACTTAAGTAATTGACATTTACATCTAAACTATCTCAGAATAGTAATCAATAGTAATTTTAGATTTGGAGTATTGAGAGGGATCTGTTGGTTTGACTATGATGTGTTTTTTTTCCTGTCTGTAAACAACATTTCTACCAAGTCATTATATCGTTTTTATGTCGTTATAATTATGAAAAATAAAGAAATACAGACAAGTGTATGGCATTAGGGTTTTTGTAGAGACCTGTAATTTTCATAAAATACTTATATTGGCCTTTTATAGATTTGGTAAAATGTATTTGATAGTTTTGTAATTTTGTGTGTATTTTTATGTAGTAGGTATCTGTTACTAAATTTATACGACTTTAGAGAAGTGCTTGGAAACTGAAAAAAAAGTACATTATAAGTTATACTTAGTGGCATAAATAAAAAAATTGATTTTAATACAATAGATTTTTTTTTCATAAGCTTTTTAAGATCAAATTTAGAGGAAAATCATAAAAATAAATTTAATGCATTTCAAAATATGTCTTACCAAATTTTTTTTTTAATTAGTAATAGTTTATCATTTTGTACATATGTAAATTTAATAATTGTATGTATCTTATCTTCCCAACTTTCCATCTAAAACAGTGATTGCACCCATCTCCAGTAGCAGCTCATTTATTAAATATGTTTTATTTTATTTAGCTGCATTATGTCCTGCCCGTTCATGTCCAAATTGCCTACTACTTATATCAAGAACTATGTTTCGGGCTTGCTCAAAACATATGGCCCTTCTTGTCCAGTTATGTCTAGATTTGTAAATATTGGACCAACTACAAGCATGTCAATTGAAGATCCTGATTTAAAGAAAAAATGTCCATTCCTAAAGGATGAAAGTACAGCAAATGTAGTTAAGGAAGTTAGCAAAGAAATTCAAGAAGATGTTATTGAACCCATAAATAATACAGGTGATTCATTAAATAATTCAAATAATAACTAAGTGGTACTTAAAAAAAAAAAAAAAAAAAAATGTATTTTAATAATAGTTCATAGTTTAGTATTTATTAGTTTTATTCAATGCATATAATTATAACTATTAATCAACATGTTAATATTAATTTGATTATACCAATATATACTGTGATGGAAAATCATAATTACCAATATAATTTATTACAATTACTACAAATATAATATAAGAGAATTTATTTGTTTTCAGAACATAAATTCAACTATGAAAACTTTTTCCATGAACAAATCATGCGTAAAAAGATAGATCATTCTTACAGGATTTTCAAGAAAGTAAATAGGTTGGCTACAGATTTTCCTTATGCTTTGGAATATACAGGAAATGAAAAACCTGTTACGGTTTGGTGCTCTAATGATTATCTTGGTATGTCTTGTCATCCAAAAGTAAAGGGTGCTGTTCAGTGAGTATACATTAATCTAATAATAATCACCAGTCAGTTAATGTGAATTATTCTACTAGGCAAACTTTAGAGAAATATGGATCTGGTGCTGGAGGAACACGCAATATATCTGGAAATTCCATGTTTCATGAAAACTTGGAAAAAGATTTAGCTTTACAACACAAAAAAGAATCTGCTTTATTGTTTACATCATGTTTTGTTGCAAATGACTCTACATTGTTCACTTTAGGGAAAATGTTACCAGGTATCAAATGAACTAAATAATTTTATTATTTTTCATTTAAAACATTGTATAAAATTTGTGTTTTGATAAATACTGTTAGGTGTTCATATATTTTCGGATTCTGGTAATCATGCATCAATGATACAAGGTATTCGTAATTGTGGAGCTCCCAAACACATATTTCGCCACAATGATCCAGAACATTTGGAAGAACTTTTAAAGTCTGTTGATCCAGCTGTCCCAAAAATAGTTGCATTTGAAACAGTTCACTCTATGACTGGAGCAATATGTCCTCTTGAAGAGCTCTGTGAGGTCATTAACAATACTTTTTTTTATTTAAACTATTGTTAATATTAATGTTAAATTGTATGATAATATTAACTAGGTATCCCATAAGTATGGTGCATTAACTTTTGTGGATGAGGTTCATGCTGTTGGTTTATATGGTGATCACGGTGCTGGTGTTGGCGAATTACGTAGTCTTATGCATAAAATGGATATTATATCAGGAACATTGGGTTAGTATGTATAAAACGAGGGCGTACCCAAAAGAAACCAAACTGATGTTGTGTGGGACAGAGTTTTAGTAGTACCTCATTTTTTTCCGGGCGTTTAAATATACTTCTGAACATTCAATATGCCAACGGCCATCATCGTGGAAGGTTGTGTTATGTTGGTTTGATATTTTTTTTAAAAGTTATTTTTCATACTCGTCGTTTTTGTAATCACTGATTTGCGTGAACAGTGCGCCGCTGTCAAGTTTTGCTTCCTGCTCGGGAAAACAGGCACAGAAACCCTTGAGATGTTGAATGCTTACAAAGGTGATGCTTTAGGGAAAACTCAATTATTTGAGTGGTTTTCCCGTTTCAAAAGTGGTGAAATGTCGATAGACGACCAAGTTCGCTCTGGACGTTTTGACCCTTCGACGGAAAAGTAGTGGAGAGATCTGGTGTGACATGGAGTTCAGTACAGAGAATTTTAAGTGAAGATTTGGGGATGAGACGGGTGGCTGCAAAATTTGTTCCTCGACTGCTAACTGAGCAGCAAAAACAAGGCCGCATGGAATCATGCTCTTCTTTGAAAGAAGAATTCCAAAATGACCCAAACTTCTTTTCCATGGTGCTATGGATATGATCCTGAAACCAAGCAACAATCGAGCCAATGGAAGACTCCAGCATCGCCTCGCCCTAAAAAAGCTCATCAAGTGAGGTCAAACATTAAGACAATGCTCATTTGTTTTTTTGATTTGAGAGGAGTTGTCTATTCGGAGTTTGTTCTACCTGGTCAGACAGTTAACCAGGCATTTTACCTAAAGGTGTTAAAAAGATTACGCAACAGTTTGAGGCGAAAAAGACCTGATTTGTGGCAGTCAGGAGACTGGTTTTTTCATCACGACAATACTCCTGCTCACACAGCCCTTTCTGTACGGCGGTTTTTGACCAAAAATGATATGACCACTGTGTCCCATCCACCCTATTCACCCGACCTGTCACCCTGCGACTTCTTTTTATTCCCCAGAATGAAAAGGAACATGAAAGGAAAGTGTTTCGCGGACATTGATGAAATTAAAAAAAAAAAACACGGAGGCGTTGGTATGCATCACAAAAGATGAGTTTAAAAAGTGCTTCGAAAATTGGAACAAAAGATTGAACAAGTGCATTAACTCCAACAGAGAGTACTTTGAAGGAGATTAAATGTTTTTTTGTAAAAAAATTAAATAAATAACTTTGTACAAAAATAAAAATAGTTCGGTTTTTTTGGGTACGCCCTCGTACAATATATTAAATAAAGTATTAATTTGCTAATTTGAAACAAAAGCACCGTATACTTGCATTACATTTGAATTTTGTTTTTATGAAATTTAATTTTGTAGACGCATAAACCTTTTTAATTTTAAGACAGTCATAATGGAACAATTTTTTTATATATATTTTAATGGTTGAACTGACTTCCTAAATAAAAAAAAAAAAGGTCACTTCCTTATTTTGAAGAATAATAATAAAATGTATTGATGATAACGATTTTATTTATTTTTCTGTGTACAGGGATACATTTAAAATTTAATTTTATTAGGTTTTAAAACTGACATTTCGAAGGTGGCCACTGTCCTTGTTAATGCACTGAGATAACCGAAATCTGAAATTATTCTCCACTTTTTTCAGCATATCTGTGCCTATGTCGAGAATAGCAGCACGAATATTGTTTTTCAAATGATTAAGGGTCTTTGGAAGATCCCCGCAAACTAAAGATTTAAGGTAGCCCCACAGAAAAAAGTTACATGGGGCCAAATCAAGTGAATGCGCTGGCCACTGAAGATCACCTCTAAGAGAGATGAGTCATATCGAGATGGGCAGTGTTCTCGCAAGAATTTCATTGATGTTCTTGCCGTGTGAGCAGTGGCGCTATCTTGTTGAAACCACATTTCCCCTACATCCATTTCTCTTCGAGTTTGGGTAGAAAAACTCCTGAATCATCCTGAAATAACATTTAGAATTGACCATAACTGCACTTTGTTTCTCTTCAAAAAACCATAGATCAATGATGCTGATTCTGGATATTGCACACCAATCACATAATCTGTATGCAGGGGTTGATTATGAAGTTCTCTCTGATTTGTGGGACTCCAATATCGTATGTTTTGTTTATTCACACGTCTTGATAAATGAAAATGTGCCTTGTCACTAAAGAAAATAATGGCGTCTTCATTCGGGTATTCGAGGAAGACTTTGTATGCATTTTTTCGCGCAACATAATCACATGGATTATGTTGTTGCACCATTGCCAATTTGTATGGATGAAAATTAAGTTCTTCACAAAGAATTGGTCTTACTGTGGAGTTAGAAATTTCTAAAGCAGCAGAATGTTTGCGTACAGGTTGCCTAGGAGATTTCAAAAGTGCAGCCCTTACCCTGTTGATATTTTCAGGTGTCCTGATGGTCACAAAACTGAAAGAAAAGTAGGCCTCGACAGTGAATGCGCTCCTCTGTCCACTGCATGGTTGACAATAAACTAACCTTTAGAAAAAATTAAGATTGCTTTTGAACAACTAAAGGACCGCGCTCTAGACTTAAAATTCTCTTGTGGCGCCAGTTTCAAAAAAGGAAGTGACTCTGAATCACTATATTTATTAATTAGTACTTCATATACAAGTTTATAACAAAAAACTTCCAAATTATTTTTTTTTTCTAAACCCAGATGGGCAAAATCCTTCTCATAGTTTTTTCAATGTGACGGGATATTATTTAGGAAATAAAAGTCAAAGTCAACCAATAATTTATATAGTTTTTACTTGGATATTTTTATGAATTGTATAATTGATTTCTTATAACAATTATATTTTACTGTATATATAATTATTTTATTACTATATTAATTGATAGTAGATTAAATCTAATAAATAATAAATATGAAATTATATAAATTTTATATGTATATAATTTTTTTTTGTCAGGTAAAGCTTATGGCAATGTGGGAGGATATATTGCAGGCTCAAGCAATTTAATTGATATGGTCCGTAGTTATGCAGCTGGTTTTATCTTTACCACATCTTTGCCACCTATGGTTTTAGCTGGAGCTCAAGCAGCTGTTGGTGTACTTGCTTCAGCAGAAGGTAGATTACTAAGAAAGAAACACCAAGAAAATGTTCAGTATCTTCGGCAAAAATTGTTTGCTGCCGATTTACCAGTTGAGTCTACTCCATCTCATATCATACCTATCAAGGTTAGTAGTAGTATGACTAAATAAGTACTGGTTATTCAATTTAAAATTCTATATTTTTTTTTTTTGTTCAGATTGGCGATCCAAATTTATGTTCAAAAATATCTGACTTATTACTTCAAGAAAAAGGTCATTATGTACAAGCCATTAATTATCCCACTGTACCAATTGGTGAAGAAAAATTGAGATTAGCTCCAACACCACACCACACTGCAGAAATGGTTGATATACTTGTTGCGGACATGCTTGATGTGTGGGTAAAACTTGGCATTCCTATCAATTCGGTAATAATAATCTTCTATTAATTTTATAGGTTTAATGCATTGACTGCTATATGATTTCTAGTTCATACTAAATTTACCAAAATTATTAATCACTATTAACTTATCGGAATTTATAAGTACATTTAAATGTATAAATAAAAAACTTAATCACTGGCTAGATCTTATCTTCCAGTATTCTAGTCACACTCCTAGCTATGTTAGAACTTATCCCAGATTCTCTCAGTATTAAACATATTTTCCAACATAAATATTAACATAAAAAAGTATGGAATATCTCATAAAAATATCCATGGTGTGGTGTAAAAACTATACAATTTAATTGACAAAGGTACATTGCAGTCAATGAGTTGAACATACAAATTTATACAATGGCGTTAATATTTTATTTTTTATGGATTTTATTATGATTGTCACTTTTGTATTTTTAGACTCGTTGTACTATATGCAAAAGAAAACCTCAGTGTATCAGAACCAACAATCACATACAAAACAACTGTAGAATTACCATTGAGTCTTGTCTGGTTCCAAATTGTTACCAGTTTATTAATGCATCAGCTTAAAATAATTATTTGGGTTTTATTAAAAATAAAAATTTTTTTTTTTTTTTAATTAGTAAAGTTTTAATCATTTATTTTAGTAGTTGGTATTGCCTAAGCAAATCATTACATTCAATTAAATAATTCACTTAGTTAAACCTAAGGAAATTTTAAGGACTTTTATATATATATATATACAAAAAACCAGGCTTATAATATGTAAAATAAAAGGGTCAGAATAAAACTTAACTTATAACTAGGGTTAGGGACTTCTAGCATTTACATATTATTTAAGAAAAATAAATAAAATAGTGGAGTTAAACATCATAATATATTGTTCATCATGTAAAGAATCTAAATACATTTTATTTTTATATAATTAAGTATTTTAGAGTTTTCCACCCAAAGGAGGTGTGAGCACAGTTCAAAGAATTTTGGAATTTTGTACATATTTTTTTTTTAGATCAATTATGTGTCTGATAACAATTTTATAGAACCCATAATCTTATCTTATCCATGACATGACACATCTTACATGACATATTTGTTACAAAATATTACAATTATTCAGTACTACCTGACCCGGCAATGCTTCGTCATTGCAAGATTTCTCAAATATTAATTTGCTATTTATTTTCTGGATGATTATTTTTATTTTAGACCACTTTTAGTCTCCGTGGTAATGTAGCCATATAAATTTAGTGGATTCTTCATAATGTTGAAAAAAAACTTATATCGGTTGTGTCAATAGAAAAATTGATGCTTATTGTAAATTTTTTTTTATTTAATAGATTCAATATATACAATTTCTTTGTAAATTAACTTTATCAACTTTTTCTGGATCGGGAGCAAAAATATACAAATTAAATCTGGATGTCATACGTAACAGGATGATGTATAGTTGACTGTGAGAAAAACATTGAACGCTTAGGTCAATTCCAGCAACGTTAAGTGTTTGTCCCTGTGCTATATTTATAGTCATTGGAAATGCTAATTTAACGGGAAATTGAATACGTTTAAACTTAAAAGGTAAATTTGAGGGTATAATTGGTATTCTTGGTAATATAACAGTTTTTCCATTACCACAGCCCGTTAAAATTATGCACTCGAGAAATGAACTTCTCAATTATTTTTTTTGCAGTCTTGTACCGTTATAAAGTATGGGTGGGCTCAAATTTCTCATTAAAATAATAGGTGCCCCTATTTTTAAAATCAGTGTATGTGGTGGGACTTTAGAAGATGTTAAAGAGTTAAGAAATTCAGTTGGGAAATGGTGACAAAATAGCCCTTTCTTAAAACCATTTCAGTGATTTAGAATATATAATATATATAGTGATATATTTTGAATGTTCGGGTACACATTTTGAATTAATTTTTTTATAATGGTACTCAATTACAGAAACTTTTAATATTTATTTTATCATTCGTTGCTTGAAATTCGCCATTGCCTATTAAAAGTAAATCTTGACAAAATTTATATTATCTTGTTCTGTACATATCACTTTCATATTAGTTTTTAAGTTCTAATATTTTTATATAAGGCCATAAGTAGGATTTTTTCAAAGACGTGCGATAAACTTCTCGGAACAATCAAACACAATACAAAATGGTCAGGTTGCAGATAGCTAGAAACCCATGCCGCACAATATATACAATAATATATATAGATATACAATTATTTTAATTAATAATTACAAATTATTAATTAATTTTATCGGACTAAATTTATGCCTAAAACATTCTCTATGATGTCCTCTTTAATTTAAAAAAAATTGCACAAGGATTAAATAAGTAGTTTTGAAGTTTATCCCGAACAAAAAAAGGCGACTTCATTTTATATAGTAGTATAGATTATAACTGATATATTCTTGTAGTTGGTCATATATGAGCATACATTTTTCTAACTTTATTTATAATTCTTTATTTTATTTCATGCTATTTTTTCAATCATTTATATGGACTAATTTCTTAATATTGAATCGTAAGGTAAACAAAATGAAGATAACAGTAAAAAAGAAAATAAATGTTAGTTTAGAAAATATGATAATAATTACTTAGATTTTAGTTTTACTTACATTAAAATAGATAACCTAAGTGTATTATTTTTTTGAAAATATTAGCTGCTGATAGTATGGTACTCAATAAATTAAATCATCAATTGAAGACTAATCATAGTACATAAATAATAAACCATAAATGTGATTATTTTGTAAGAGAACTTGCAAAATTAGGAAAACAATCTTCTAGTTTCTTTAAACAGACATGTGTTCCATCTAAAGCCCTTTTGACTTCATATAAAGCAGAATTTTGTATGGCATAATGCAAAACACCTCATATGAAGATTGCCAAAGAACTTATTTTACCATCAGCAATAGATATGGTTTCTACTCTGATAGGAGAATCTGCAGCAAACTAACTTAGAAATATACCTTTATCTAATAATACTATTAGTTGGCAAATTCAAGATATCTCAGATAATATAAATGATCAGCTTATTGATAAATTAAGAAATAAAAATTTCGGGACGACCGATGATGATAATAATAATAAAGACGCATATCTAATATGTTATGTTCAGTTTATGAATGGAATATATATTATAGAAGAATTATTGTTTTGAAAATCTATATTAAGTGGTACTAAAGCTAAAGACCTATTTGATATTTCTAATAATTTTTTGGATCATAATAATATTAAATGGGAAAACTGTTTGGGCGTGTGTAGAGATGGAACTCGACTATGTCTGGTCAGTACAGTGAACTTCAGGCTTTAATTCGACAAAAGCTCCAGAAATGATATGTACTCATTGTCTTATTAATGGAGAGGCTTAAGGGTCACAAAATATAAGTTGTTCTTCAAATTATGTACTTGAAATGGTTTTAGAAGTAGTCAACTATGTAAATACAAGATCTATTAAAGCAAGATTTTTTCAAAAACTGTGTGAAGAAATGGAAGCAGAACATATATTACTGTTTTAATGTAATTCTAGATGGCTATCAAAAGGTAATGTACTTTCAAGAGTATTCAAACTTGTACAAGAACTGTAATATTATTTAAATGGAGAAGGTTATAATAATAGCAAAATGTTTGTTGATAGTGATTTTGTAATAAAATTAGCTTATTTATGTGATATTTTTGAAAAACTTAATTCACTCAATATATTTTTACAGGGTAAAGAAACTTATATTCTGCAATTAAATAATAAGATAGTTGCTTTTATTAAAAAAATCTACTTGCGAAAAAGAAAATTAACAGAAAAAAAAGAAAACAACTTTTAAAATATTTTCTTGGAGAGAATGATCTTGAATTACCAATAAGTTTAAAGGCAATATTTTTAGAGCATCTGATGAATCTTGAAACTCATTTCATGAAATATTACCCAAAAGAAATGAAACAGTACTATTGGATTAAAGACCCGTTCACTGAAAAACCACCATCAAATTTCACAACCTTAAAAGAGGAACTATTAATCGAAATTTCATCCGATTCTTCACTAGGAATGCAATTTTCTTCATATTCACTTTTAGAATTTTTGAACAGTATTAAAGATGAATATCCTGAAGTTAGCAATAAAGCTTTTGGTATATTAATACCATTTGCCACATTGTATTTGTGTGAAGCAGGATTTTCAACAGTAGCCGTACTAAAATAAAAATATTGGTCCAGGCTCAACGTGGAAAAATAAATGCATGTTGCAGTAACTACATTAATTCCTAATTTTGAAAAATTAATAAACGAAAAAAAGACATTAATTATTTTTTATAAAATAGTTAATTTAGTTAATAGTCATTGAGTTTAATCAATAATTCAAATTATTCAACTAAAAACATAAAAGTTTTTACATAAATACTATTAATAATAGAGGAATACAATTTCAATAAAAAAAAAAAACATGTATTAGTCTGTTTGATTTTTTAGACCTAGAAGTACCTATAACCTTATTCGTAAATATTAAATAATACAATTACAATGTTTTGATTAATATACATGTTTAACAAATATAAAACATTTTCTATTGAATATATTTTTTTTAAATTTTTACAATTTTCATATTCTAGGGTTAAATTTTAATGTTTTGGAATTTTTAAATAAGCGTAAAAATTGTATTTAAAGTTTTTTAAAAAAAATTGAGATTTATTGAGAAGTTCTTACATTTGTTAAATTAGTCTTGTTACACTCTATAGTTTAAAATTGGTGATTATTTTACTTTCATATTTATGGAACCACCAGTTTAAATTGTGTATGATTTTACAGGAGTACATAATATATAATAATTAGGTTATTTGGATTTAAATGCACTTTCTATATTAAAAAAAAAAAATTAAAAATGACAAAAAAATATTTAAAAACGAAAATAGTTTAGAGGTTTAGATGTCCTTCTAATTTAAATAATTTGTTAAGTAAATTTTTATTTTAATATAATAATTTTATGAAAACAAATCAACACAAAGATATTTTTACCAATTTTGAGCACTTTTTGTAGATTTAAATTTGGAGCTCTAATAATAATATATAATACATAATGCATATGCTTAATTGAATTGTATATGCATAAAAACATACAGTTATAAATATATTAACAATGTCATTGCATTCTAAAAGTTAACAGTACTATTGATAACATCAAGCTTGTGCAGTAGTAATCACATTCAATTTTCTTTTTATCTTAACTGTTTTAAATAGGATTTTTGATATAAACATTAAAATGATTCAATATTGATTAATAGTAACTAGGGAGACAGTTATGTATATGTATTAGCATTTTGATCCAGTATTACTATGTTTATGAAATATGTGATCTATAGAAATAACTGTTTTTAAAATTGTAAACAATTATATAATTACAATACTTTCATGGTATTACGATAATTGTTATTCATAATATGAATACCTAAATTTAAAGTAACATAAACTTAACTCAACTTATAAAAAAAGCTAGAGCTTTTTTAAGTATAATGGATATAACTGTCAAATTTTTAAATTAAACAAGGGTATTGTTTAATTCTATTATTCAATTGCTTTAAATAATTATCTGTGTTTCCTTGTTCTTTTTAACTTTTACAATTCGTATTTTAGATATTTTTCATTACTGTTATTTTATCCTTCAATTAACTGATAATAAAATAAGTATTTTTTTATGAAATTTTATTATTTTAATACATGTATTTATTTTGCACGATTCTATTGGATTATAGTGTCAATTCTGTCTATTTAGCACATATTTTACTATTTTAAAGGCATATACAGTGGATGTCATTTATAACACTCACAAATATAAGGTTCAATGGCTTTTAAAACTCAAAATCACTTAGAAAGGTCCTATTAATTAATACATTAAAAATAAAACTAGTTTATACGATTAAAATTTTGAAAAAAAAAAAATGTACATTTTTGATGAAATTTTGAACCTATTTGTGTTATAGTGGTTTTAATTCATATCATATCTATTATCACACTTCACATTTATTGTAATTATTATTATTGTAGTGTAAGGCATATTGTACTGTCAATGGATTATACTTTTAATTTAATATATTATTTATAATTAGTTAACTGAAAATATAAATAATGTGCTCCTTTCACTCTTTAGTTGCAGTATAATAGTCCTCATTCTAGTTTCTACATCATTATTTTAACAAAACACATTCTTTATTAAATAATTTATTATATAATAATATGTAATATATAAAACTAAAATATTAAATAATATCCAATGTGTAATGCAAATGTAATATATATTAAATGAAACTAACAAAATAAAATTTCTTTTTCCCCTTCACTTATAAGGTTTATTCTATTATAAAAAAAGAGTCACTTTGTGAATTGTGCTAGTACTAAAGTAACTAATAAGCAGTTCCCATTGTGCCTATCTAGGTATTTTTAGTAAATTAAAGTCAATTCTTTTCTATAATACCATTTTTTAATTAAGTATATTTGTAAATTAAACAAAATAAAAACCATTCAATAGAAATATAAACTACAAGTTGACAATAAATTATTGAGAAGGAAAAATTATTTGTTATAAATTATAATATTTTATAACAAGATCATCTAAGATTGGTTGTATAAAAACAAAATATCACTGAATTACATAAATGATTTGATTGATAAATTTTTATATAATATTGTACAAATACAAATAATAGGTAGGTATGTATTGTCTAAAGATATAAGGTTTTACCCAATTTGCCTGTGAATGGCCAAAGATTAAACATTACAAAATAAAAAAAATTATTGTAACCACACAGAAGCTTTTATAACATTAGAATAAAAGTTCCCAAAAATTTTATCTCGTTTTTATTATATCGTAAATACAGGTAAAATTTTAGTTAAACATTTTCAGTAGAAACATTCAACTGAACGATATTATTCCTGGGAATTAAGTTCCAGATGAACAAACAAAAAAAAAACAAAAATCAACTTCATAATTATATCTCTATATTATACAAGAATATTTTAAATTTTTAATTCAAAAATAATAACAGTAATATTTAAAAAGTTACAAATACTTTTGCACAATAAGTTGGCCACTGTTATAGGTGGGAAGTTTGGAAGGTATCCAATGTTTAGTAATTTAGTTTAAACACCTAATGAAACTAAAAAATGAATAGCATTTAATTAATCATTACAATTGAACAATGATTTTGAGCTATGCTTGAGAAACTGGTAAGGTTACAAAATTACTTATTACTCATGTGTTTTCTCTTGCAGCAAGGTAGGTAATCAAAAAATCAACAAAAATGTATCAGCATTTGGTATCATTTTTATATTCTGAGGGTAGAGAAAAAATATCTAGAAATGGAAGTAAAATTATCAAATTATTACTTTTAATTTTTTTTTATATCAGATCAATCAATGTTGACCATGATGAGTTTTAGTTGAAATGAATATGAGCATGATGTAAACCTATATTAATGTTAATAGAAGTTTATATAATTTTTAAAATACCTAAAAACAAAAAAGTTAATAAAGAATAATTTTTTTTTCCAATCAGTTTATCTTCAAGGGGATATTGATTAGTAGAAAAAAATTAAATTTTTATTTCATCTCCTAACATAGAAAGAAATATAATTTTTTATTTATTCCATTTAGAAAATTTTCAAAATAATCATTTTGTAAAAATTATTGTTCTAAAAATTTTAATTTGTCATACATACATATTCGATTACTAGTTTCTTAATTATAGAAATTTCAGTTTCTAAACAATAGGTGTGAGAACAATTAATAATTACCGTGCTGACTGTAATTCCTTATCACATTACGTGTTATTTTATTGAATATTAATTATTTTCACACATAATTAAAACAAATATAAGTACTATAACTAAGAAATAATTCATCAGATCTGAATGTTGATACATTAAAATACATAAAATACTTTTTAGAAATTTTGTTTATAGGGTATGAAAATAAAAATTTAATTTTTCTTCAAATCAATCCCCCGTCAAAGATAAACCGATTGAAAAAGAAAAAAATGAAAAAAATTTAATATTAACATCACTAGTAAAATTTGTCGAACACGGTGGGATACATTGTTTATCTCTACGCAAAGATTAATATTATGGATAATTAAAAAAACTATTCTGAATGGATTTATTATTATTATTAACGAACATATTTTAAAAGGCCGTAATATTTATGATTTCAAAATAATACATTTCGAAAATTTTCCGGTTTTTTTTAAACTATTGTGGAAACTCTTGAGAAAATCGAAAAATGACCTACTTAAAATACCTATCAATATAGTCAAATATCCTTTCAGAAATAGTGCTAGGTACACTTGAAAGTCTGAGTAAAATTTCTAGTAAAAAAGTTGTTCACAGAAACAAAAAAAAAACAAACAATAAACATTATTGTAAAACCAATACTATCCCCGCTTCGATCAGATTTTTAAAACAAAAACATTAATGAATTTGAGATACAACCTTCGAAAATAAATTGTACCCACTTATAAAAAGTGAGAAAACTGAATAAATGATAATATTCAATAATATTATATATGGATAAAACATTAGACCATGGTTTTCGATGTGGTAAAGCAGATATTTAAACTCCATAGCTCCAAAAGTTCATTTGTTATCAAAGAGTTTACATAGTAAAAGTGTGATAACTGCAGTGTTGATAAGAAGTACAGTAATTTGATAATAATATTCGCACAAAATAATATACATACAATATAAAGTAATTATAAATTATTTAATGAAATACATTAATTTTAGACCAATGTAAGAATAAAGTATACTTTAAATTCAAAAATTAAACCTTCTAGAAATTTATAAATTCCCCAGATTGCATAGATAGCTGATTGATAAAATTTGTTTGTTTATAGTAAACAACCACTTACCACATGTTACCATAACGGTAACAACTATTCTTTACTGGAACAGTAATCTAATAAAGAAGTCTAGTGAATACGTCTTTTCCAAGTATACATTACGTATAAATTATCTATGGAAAAAATATAAATTAAACAATTTGAATAAGTTTTATTACTATATTCTTTGTAATCTCTTCCCTATAAATTTGTCGTTTAAAGAAGTATATTAGTCAAGAACTCAGAGACATGTCGAAGTCTGAAGCAGAACCTAATGAAGACAATAGCGTACGTTTGTTTGATAAAAATTTATTGCAACTTCAAATAACCAATTTTTATTTTTATAGAAATTGGAACAGACAGCCAAACTAGAATTAGACCATGGTGATTCAGAGGATAGTACTTCAAAAGTTATTGAAGATACAGCCGAAAAACCGTCTACAGAAGTTATGAATAATTTGACAGATACTAATGATATAAAGTAAATTTCTGTAATTTACCATTTTTCATTAAAAACTTTGTATAACTATTTTAACATAATATTCTGCTATATTACTTTGGTCACTTAGATGTCAAACTGAATCAGAAACATTAAGAACAATCCAACCTATTGATGTAGCAGCTCATTTAGCTTTACTCGGCGAATCATTAACCAATATGGGAGAAAGATTAAAGAAACATGAAGTGAGATATTAAATTTACATGTGTACATTTAGTTTTGAGTATCTAAATATTAAATGTTTATTTTATGTGTTAAGGGCGAAGTAGATGTGAACAACAGTTTATCAGTACTTCTCGATTCTCTTTTATGTACCTTGGGACCCTTGCTTTGTCTTACTCAACAGGTTCCAGAATTAAATGTAAACTCCCAAGAAACATTGGAAAAGCTTATGGATGATATAGCTTATATAATGCCTGGATTGTAAAAGACTATGAACAATAATTAAAGTAAATTCATTATTATAATTCACTATTAAAAATACATTTTTGCTTGTATACATTAATATATTAATCATTTAATATTGGTTTGAAAATACAGTTTATCTCCATTTATTATATTAAATTTATATATTAACCACATTGAAAATAAAGAAATAGTAAGACAATTAAATGTTAACAAAGTTTTTTTTATCCATTGATAATTTTAAAACAGACTGAATTATAATAATAAATTTCAAATTGTATAAATAAAAAGGTATTTTTTTAGCCTTGATAAAATCATGGGTCTTAAGGTGACTGCACATCGGTAAAGCAATTTGAATGAAGGAATTTAATTCATGTTAAGTCATTTTGCTTTTAGTCATAATAAAGCATTATGATCGCACACTAGATAAACCGTCTAGTCGTATCAGAGTAAAACCAATCATCAAAATGTCACTAGACAAGGAGGACATTGTTATTCATATTTTATGATTTCTTTTAAGAGAAATTGAACAGGAAGAAAATAAAATAAAACATTGGGTTCATCTTTTAAACTTGAAAATAACTAAAAATATTACAAATAAATGTTTAATATAAAATAATATTATATACATTATGGTACCCACTACTTATTTAATTATTTAATTTGTAAAACTTTTTAGGTTATGCGTCTGGTATTAAGTATTTATTATTATTTTGTATTAAAAAAAAAAAATTAAAAATCAAATAAATGTTTTCAATTCAAAATTATATACTTGTATTAATATAAAATTACCTATATATTGTAGACGATTTTACGAAAATAAATAATTTTTGGAATAATTTTGGTATAATCATCCAGTGGCTGCTCACTTTCTATTTCAATAAAGCAATATTAGTCATGACTGAAGGAAAAAATGTTTTGTTTTGACTACACTTTATGAGTGTTAATGTTATCCAGAAAATATAAATGTTTTATTTTTCATTAGTCCTTATAAAGCGACATTAGTTGCTTTAAAGCAGTTTTGCTTTATCAGTGTGTGGTCACCTTTAATTAACATACAATTTCCTAAATTAATATTTCCTTCATTGCCAATCCAAATACCACTTACATAAAAGTCAGAGAAAACTCTTTCACCATTAAAAATATGTTTTGCATGTGAAATTAATATTTTAAGTTTTGAATATGCAAATTGTCTTGGTATATGAATACAGTTTAACCTTATAAACATATTACGATAATTAAATTAAATATATCATACCTAGAAAACGTTTTATTATTCTAATGATATTTTTAAGATATTTTTAATTAATATAATTATTTTAAAAATATAGGTTTTTTTTCAAAATCATTGCTCTTAAATAAGACACAATTTCAAAATTCAAAGGAAACTCTGGATTATATCAGTATTAAAAATATGTTTTGCTTGTGAAAATTAATATTTTAATATTTTAATATTGGCATATAAATACAATTTATCTCTATTTTTATATTCCTTTTTATTTCAGCACATTGAATATAAAGAAATAGTAAAACAATTATAAGTCAATATAGTTATTTTATTCCAATGATAATTTTAAGACAGATTGATTTGTAATAATAACTTTCAAATTATATCAATATAAATGGTTTTTTTTCAGCCTTCATAAAATAATTGGTTTTAAGGAACACACAATTTCCTAATTTAATATTTCCTTCATTCGTAATCTTAAATAACACTTACAAAAAATTCAGAGAAAACTTGATGATTGTACTATTAAAATTGCTTTGCATGTGAAAATTAATATTTTAAGTTTTCAATTTGCATATTTTTTTGTAAATTAATACTGTTTAACTTTACATTTTCCTTTCATTTTTTTTAATAAGAGCCCATTCGTAATCAATAAATAATACTTACATATAGTTATATAATTCCAATGGTAATTTTAAGATATATTGAATTAATATAATAACTTTAAAAATATATTAATAAAAATGCATTTTGATTTTGGTATAACTAGAGACTGAACCATGACTCACCATATCTGAACCATATTTTAATTAGACTGTTTTAATTGAAAAAACCCTTCGATTTGTCATGCAAACTTTTCTAGCAAAAATCTTGATCAATCTTTATCAAGTGTAGCGTCTTTTTTAAAAGAAAATTTTATTAATATGTTACTTTATTTTTTAATTTTCCAAGCAGTCTTCATAAAATATGGGAAAAACCGGGATAATATTTTGGTAAAACGAGAAAATGTATGAAAATAATACACTTATAATTCAGTTAAAAATATTCTTAATGATTTAAAATTTAGATAGAAAACTTTTTAAAATATATGCTCCATTTTTGAGCTTTTTATAGACATTTAATTTTTTGAGTAACTTTTATTAGGTATCCTACTCTGTGGATAAAATTTTTAGACTAAACAAAATACTAAAGAATTGAAGAGGTTCATTAGACATTATGATTTGTGGTAAAACAAAAAAAAAAAAAGACCTACAGAATAATGGAAAGGAATGTAACCACTGTTATAGATAATTTATGTATATCTATAAGCAACGATAACTATTTTTAATGAAAAAAAGATTCTGAGCGCAGTTCAGGTAATAGCGATGCTTTGACAACATCATATAATATGTTATATTAAAGTAAAATAATTAATAGACAATATATATTTTTTTTTAATGTTTCTTCAATAATACACCGAATTTCCCATTTTTCTTGCGTTTTTTCCAGGTTTATCAAACTTTCTATGAGAACTTTAGGGAAAATCAAATATGGCCTCTCTAAAGTACCTAGCCAGTCATATTTCCATTTAGAAAAAGTGCTTGCATCAAAAATTGGAAAAAAAATTGTTAACGAAAAAAAAGGTCAAAATATTGTATTAGTACCTACATTTCCTACGATCTCCATTTTTTCGATATTTTATCCCGAGTTTTTCCAGATATGATTTCAAAAAACAATCTCTCTTAATTAACATGGAAATAAAATATTCTTTTATAATATAAGCTGAACATCTTTATAATCACCGGAGATATTCAAGAGGTATATCTTCAAGGGACAAAATGTATATATATACATCGCACCCTCTTTTAAAAAATGACAAAATTGAATAAATGATAATATATAATAATATTATACATGGATAAAACATTAGACCATGGTTTTCAGTGTAGTTTAGCAGGGATTTAAATAACCTAGTTCCAAAAGTTCATTTGTTATCAAAGAGTTTACATGGTAAAAGTGTGATAACTACAGTGTTGATAAGAGATATAGTCATTTGTTAATAATATAATATACGAATAGTATAAAATAATTATAAAATATTTAATAACATTCATTGACTTTAGATCAATGTAAGAATAAAGTATACTTTAAATTCAAAAATTAAACCTTATCGAAATTTATAAAATCCACAGATTGCTTATACAGCTGATTGATAAAATTTCTTTGTTTATAGTAAACAACCACTTACCACATATTACCATAACGGTAACAACTATTTTCTTCTGGAACAGTAACGAATAAAGAATTCTATTGAGTACGTCTTTTCCAAGTATATATTACGTATAAATTATCTATGGAAAAAATATAATTTAAACAATTTGAAAAAGTATATTTACCATACTCTTTGCAAACTCTTCCTTATAGATTTGTTGCTTATAGTAATACATTAGCAACAACTCAGAAACATGTGGAACTCTGAAGCAGAACCCAATGAAGACAATAGCGTACGTTTGTTTGATAAAAATATATTGCAACTTCAAATAACCAATTTTTATTTTTATAGAAATTGGAACAGACAGCCAAACGAGAATTAGACCATGGTGGCTCAGATGATAGTACTTCAAAGGCCACTGAAGATAAAGCCAAAAAGCAGCGTACAGAAGTTATTAATAACCCGACAGACACTAATGATAGAAGGTAAATTTCTGTAATTTATCATTTTTTGTTAAAAAGTTTTGTATAACTGTTCTAACATAATATTCTGCTGTATTGTTTTGTTCACTTAGATATCAAACTAACTCAGAAACATTGGGACCGGTCCAACCTATTGATGCAGCAATTTATCTGGCTAAACTTGGCGAATCAGTATGCAAAATGGGAGTAATATTGATAGAACAAGAAGTGAGATATTAAATTTACATGTGTACATTTAGTTTTGAATATCTAAATATTAAATGTTTATTTTATGTGTCAAGGACGAATCAAATATGAACAACAGTTTATCAATACTTGTGGATACTCTTTTATGTATCTTGGAACCCTTATTTTGTCTTGCTCAACAAGTTCCAGAGTTATATGTTCACTCCCAAGACATACTGGAAAACCTTATGGATGATTTAGATAAAATAATGCAAGGGTTTTAAAGGATTATAAAAAATAATTAAAGTAAATTCATTATTATAATTCACTATTAAAAATACATTTTTGCTTGTATTCATTAATATATTAATCTTTTAATATTAGTTTGAAAATATAGTTTATCTCCATTTATTATATTAAATTTATATACAAACCACATTGCAATAAAGAAATAGTAAGACAACTACATGTTAACAAAGTTATTTTATTCCAATGATAGTTTTAAAACAGAATGAACTATAATAATAAATTTCAAATTATATAAATAAAAATGTTTTCTTTTTATCCATGATAAAATCATGGGTTTTAATCATCACACAATTTCCTTATTTAATATTTCCTTCATTGACAATCCTAAATACCATTTAAATAAAAGTCAGAAAAAACTTGATTATTTCACTATTAAAAATATGTTATGCATGTGAAATGAATATTTTAAGTTTTGAATATATTACCACGTTTAAAACAAATATATCATATCTACAAAACGATTGATCTCTTGATAATTTTAAGACATTTTGAAATAATATAATTACTTTAAAAATATATTTTTTTTTTCAAAATGATTGCACTTAAATAAGACATAATTTCAAACTTTAATAACTTTTCCATTAGCAATACTAAACACCACTTAACACAAACTTAAACGGAAAAACTGGAAATATTTCACTATTAAAAATACATTTTTGCTTGTGAAAATTAATTTTATAAGTTTTTAATATGCATATTATATTTGTAAAGACTGTTATAAATAATTATTCAAGCAAATTGTATTGTTTATTTTTATTTATTACTTTTTAATATGTATAGTTAGATTAGGTTATTCAATTGATTTCAATTAATTGAATAATTTTTTCAAACTAATTTATACCTACCATAAATCTTAAATTGTAGGTATACATTGTACATTTTAGTTCAAATCAGTATCTATTGTGATCTTCTAGTCACAAACTAATGTTAACCTTATTGGAACATTCTATTTTGATCCATAAGTCACTAACCTTTAACCCTCTCATCGCTGGGAACATTAATCATTAGCCTCTTACCTCTCTCCTCTAGTTATTGGAAATTATTTAAATTTTTTTGTTGTTTAGCTGTTAAGACAAAAGTGAGATAAGACACTTGATAATATTGTACCAGTAAATTTTTGANATTTTGTGTGTATTATAATCATACATTAAACATTTTAATACCATTTTAGAGCGCTAATTATATAAAAGTTGAAATATTTATCTGTTTTAACAAGTTAATAACATCATTGATATCAACGTTGATATCACAATGAATATATTTTAGTAAAGCTAAACCATTTAAAGGTATTTGTCCTGAAGAATTACTCAAATATGTTTTCAAATGACACAGTGTCCCATTCTCTCGTGGCAATTGACATGGAAATGTTATGCATGTTTGAAGAAGTTTAGATATTACTGGATAAACATCTGGATTAGTTTGAAATTAAACTTCAATAGAACTTTTGTTCTTGAGTTCTGAAGATGTTAAATTTGAATATTTAGTTTACCACAAATCTAATTATCAGTTTAATATGTGATCATTTAAATTTGAATCATTACATTCATTTATTATATTTTGATACGTTTTTATTAAATGTTTGAATTCACTTTTAATTTCTTCAGATATTTTAAATTCTGTCTTGAGTAAAATACAATGAAAATTATTTAAAACAAACATGTGGGATATAAATCTTTCGTTCAATTGGTCTAAACAACTATCTATGAAAAGTATGAATACTTAAAAAAATATTCTGAATCATCTGATTTAGGTTGTCGTTGCAAACTAACAGTAATATAATATTTTTCCTATATAGCAATTACGGATAAAAATAATTGTTGAAACTTTACATCACAATTTTCTCTAATATCCTGAATATTATTTTGAACATTAGCTGCTTGTAATGCAGTTTTTAAATCAAGATGTTTGAAGATATTGGTTAAGTGGAAAACCTATGAAAAGTATTTTCACTAAAATAGATAAAAATTGTTTGAAATTTTAACTGCTTTATCGCAGTAAAAGATGACTTTCAGAACTAGAAATATCAGAATCTGTCCAAAGTGTAATTTTATCTAGTGCCTGTAAAATGGCTGGTTGAAGTTCTTCAAATAATATAACTGCGTCATGGCAATCGACCCATTGAGTTGCACATAGATATTTTAGTTTAAAACGATTAATTTGCGGATATATTTCTTCTATTGACGATTGCAAAATACTTGGTCTTTTTGGATAATCGAATGCGATAACCGATAACAATAGAGCTACCTATCAATGTAATATACACACTACACCGGACTAGACTAATTTGTATTATTTGCGCGCCACTCCCTCCCCCTAGGAAGGCGCGACAACATTTCAGGGGAGGCGTGAACATTTTGGTGGAATGCGACCCGAGATGCGCGTCACCACAGTAATCGCCGAACATGAAAAATCGATGATTGGAACTAAACGGTGCCCTTACATACTTAATAATAATAAATTCGAAATTAAATATGTAAGAAAGCGAATGTCATGTAATTTATTTTAATCATTTTCAAATGATAATAATCTTAAAATCTCCAGTGATTAAGAGATGTTCAAAAACCAAACAAAATGAATATCTAGTACACAACAATACGAGCTTTTAATCGGGAAAGAAGTTATGATTTGAATGCTCACCGCGATTTAAGATATACCGGTTGCCCAACGGGCCACGAGATTGTGACTTCAGTATAATGGGGGGGGGGGGTATAACAGCCAAACCGTATTTAGCCGAAAATGTTTTAACCGACCGTGTTTAAGCCGAATAAGAGATTATCAGAAAATATTTCGGCCGATAAGAAATGTATTTGTAATACATTTCTTATTGTTATTTTTAATCAGAAAATGTCGAATTAGAAATCTTGGAAATTTGACGTCGATGTATTGAACAAAAGTTGAAAAATTTGAAAGAACGTGCACATTTTGAGTTATAATTCCAATACATTTGTGAACAAACACAAAAATAATTAAACGACATTTTGAATATTTTCTATGACAAAAATATATATTATTTTAATTAAGTTTAAAATTATTATAATTTTTGATTTCAACCATTTGTAAACATTTAAACTGAATTCATATGTAGATAAACATCCACTTACACATGTTTAATTTATTATCAAAGCTAAACCAATATATTTTCCAATTAACTTCTGATTAAAAATTAAAAAAATGAAGTGTGAGTACTTGGTGCATCTGATTAACTTGTTTTTCATTTAATAATAATATGTACTGAATTTCTCTTATTTTTATTTATTTCTTATTACGTGTTATCGTTTTTTTTTTGGAAAATCTGGCATCGTCTTCTCTTTATTACAGTCGCCCGGAATATTCTCGTATAAAATACTATCGGTCCAAATATTTTCCTGCACAAATGCGGTTCCGCCGATTTATTTTTTTGTTGTTTTACGCGCTCCCAATATTATTCAATACTCGGATGATAAAACAATTCTGTAACGCTCGTTGACCGCAGTGGAATATTTATGTACTATATTATAACGCTATCGCAATTCACAACATATGTTTGTGAAATTTCAAATCGTTAGTAATTACGATTTCGAATATATTTATGACCAAAACTTCAGCCACAATTAACAAATTAAAGTACGTACAGAATTAATACAATACATACATGTATATTAAATTATAACAATTTGTTCAAAACTGTTAATACTGGCGATGTAGGTATATGCAATATCGAGGAACTCGGACTTAATTGGAACTGCGCCTACACTAAGATTTGGACGCTTTAAACTAATCCGATTTTTTTTTTTTTTCATAATATTTAGCTTTATTACAAAAAATAAATAAAATACAATTTTCTGTGATGAATACAAAATAATAACTATATATTTGTTGATTTCTTGTCAAGATACCTATGTGTTTAAAATGTTATTGCGATATTCTTGAGTTTTCTCCTAATGGAATACCTAAAGCTTCCTCCCATTCAACCTTTAAAGGAATTTTCTTTGTTACCCCAAACGTACTGTTTTTAAACTTTTATAAGAGCAGACAGATAAACAACACGGCATGATTTTTCATGTAAAATACAATATCTATTATAATATAAAAATACTTTTGAACGTGCATAAATATTTTTTTTTTTTAAAACACTAAAAATAATAATTATATACTATATTCACGTTTGGTTGTATCTTTAGTTGTGATTGTAATGGTTTCTCAGACTATCGACATAAATATTATGTATAATATACTATACAATTTGAGTTAAGTATCTACGTAAAAAAAATTGCTTGTTAATGATTATTTCACCGAAATTAATCACAATAAGTCGCTGTAATTAGGCTAATAGCTAAGATAAGTACAACTTTATATCTTTTCGTTTTTTTTAATTGTAAAGCGAAAGCTGTTTTAATAGAAAAATACCGGGTTGGCTCTGTATCCTTGTTAGCTCACAAATATTCTCATTTACTTTTTAATCCACATAAAGCATTTGCAACGAAATTGGATTTGTTACAAGTCAAGTGGACTTATTCATCTATCAAAAGAACTAATTCCTCGGACAAAAGTAATAACTAAAGTCTTTATATTTTATAGACCTTAATGCCAATAAGTTATTAAACCAAGAGGAATAATAACACTATCCAGTAATTAATAAAGAAAATAAAAAGTAATCAACTGTTTGGTAAAATGATTGACAACAATAAAAATGATATTGATACAAATAAAAGTTAATGAAAATCTTAAGTGTTAGATTTATTTTCCTTATAATATTTATGTACATATAATTTTCTGGATTCCTCTGGAATTCTCTCCAAAATTTTATTTTCCCGTGAATAATATTTCTTGCTAAAAATTGTTCCTGTGATAAAATCATTATTAAAACCCTGTATTTTATCAAATATTGGATTACTGGATTGATAGTTTTAATTTATTATTTATCTATTTTATATAAATACAAATTTTATTTAATAATTATTTAAGTTGGTTTTCAATAGTACCAAAAAGAGTAAAG